GTTTTGCTCCCACTAGTGTTCCTCAGCTCTCTTAACAATTTGTGTGTTATTATTGTGCTCATCAATCCAGATCCAAAAGTGCTGCTTTTAACCTTTAAAGCACTGAATCAGGGGTTCTGAACCTAAAGTCTGGGAACTAAAGGTGGCCTTTGGGGCTACTTTGTGTAACCCTTGGGATTCTTCCCAGGCTACACCTCCTCTTGAGCAAGACCACATCTCTCACTAGCCCTACTTTTGCACCAGACTTGAATGCTTTTGCCCGTCTGGAATATGTCTCTTGAACTCCGATAATGCTTCTCGCTTGCTTGAATGGAGGACAGAGAGGGTTGCATGAATGGGTGTTGATGCGGGACAGGGCATTCACTACAGTAGCACCAAAGTTACAAAGCTCCCTCCATAGCGATGTCCACCACGCTTGTTATTGACTGTTAGATACCATAGTAAATGTGGATTTTTTCATGGGTCTTTTGGGTTGCCAGTAACCTTCTCTCTCCTCCCCCATTCTGATTAATGTGGCTACTAATTAGAAGTTTAAAAAAATTGTTACATGTTTTATACAAATTTGTGAATAAAAATTTGTGTATATTCCAGTACTCACCACGAAGTTATTACAGTAAGTGGCACATTTTAACATTTTTTTGGGGGGGGAGGCACTGATTATACTGCTCCCAATATTTTTCTTCTCACCAAATTACCCTTTCCATTCATTATCTTGTGCAGAGAGAGAATTTCTATAATTCCCACCCACCACAGGGAAGTATGTACATGTGCTCTTGATGTCAGTACACAGCTCAAATGTTCCACAAAAGGTCCCCAAAGTGCATAAAAAAACAAAAAGCGGGCGGGCGACTCCTTCTTTAGGTCACTGAGTGCCCTTCTCCAGCTTCTTCAGGCTGGAGCTGAATCTGATGTGCTACATACGAAATCCTCTGAAATCTGATTAGCAAAGAGAGCATGTTGGCTCTCTGTGTAAATGGGGTCATTTCTAACAAGCTGTTAGCACACTTTGCAGCTGCAATATAATCTAGCATTAAACGCCGGGGGTTGTGGACCATGTGTTGTAATGTCTCTCACAGACAATATTTCTGCTTCATCTGTTGTTCTTGAACTTCAGCAGAATTACGACCTTCAGACCTCAGGTTTAGTATTTAAATTCCTCTGTGTACTGTTTGCAGTTTTTGCTTTTTCTTCTGAGTACAGTGGTACCTCGGGTTACATACGCTTCAGGTTACATACGCTTCAGGTTACAGACTCCACTAACCCAGAATTAGTACCTCAGGTTAATAACTTTGCTTCAGGATGAGAACAGAAATTGTGTGGTGGCGGCGCAGTGGCAGTGGGAGGCCCCATTAGCTAAAGTGGTACCTCAGGTTAAGAACAGTTTCAGCTTAAGAACTGACCTCCAGAACGAATTAAGTTCTTAACCCGAGGTACCACTGTATTAGTTTCCCCAATATAATGCCAGTGCTTCTGTTCCATTTTCCAGCAGTACCTGTTAGAATTACAGTAGTACCTCGGGTTACAGATGCTTCAGGTTACATACGCTTCAGGATACAGACTCCGCTAACCCAGAAATAGTACCTCAGGTTAAGAACTTTGCTTAAGGAGGAGAACAGAAATCGTGCTCCGGAGGCAGTGGGAGGCCCCATTAGCTAAAGTGGTGCTTCAGGTTAAGCACAGTTTCAGGTTAAGAATGGACCTCTGGAATGAATTAAGTACTTACCCCGAGGTACCACTGTACTTATGTTTAAACCAGCAGTGTAGTGTCGGTTGTCAGTGCTCAGGGCGGGCACATGTGTGCGTGCCGGGCAGTCTGCATGTGTGCAGGTGGGTATGTGCACACACCGGGCAGGGGGGCACCAGTCCCTCCCGTGCCACTGAAGCTGCATTAAGTGACCCCACTCCCACCAGAGCAAAGCAAGGCCTCCTTAAGCTGCCTGCCCACCCGCACAGAAGCCCAGCCAACTGACAAAGCTCTAGGCGGGTCGATAGGAGCACCAGGCTGGGCCTCACTGTGGTTGCCTGCGTGGGGGCATTTGGTTCACACACACACACCCCACAAAAAATGTGTGCCTGGGACCACACCCTCCCTGACACTCGCTTATTTCTCCCTTGGTTTTAACTGCTGTTTGGTGGACACTCAATAGAGAAAGCTTACACATAACTGGGAATCCCAGGCCCTTAGGGGTGCTTCAGAGTAGGTGAGTGTTGAGCAGAGGTCAGCAACCTAAGGCCCATGGGCTGGAAGCAGCCTGCAGAGGTCGTTTGACCGGCCCACGAGTCGCAGCCGAATTGAGCTGTCCACTCGTTCACTGCGCTAAACCAGCATAGCGCGGCACGGGGACTCACTTCCATGGCGCCTGAAATTGTTTCTGTGCATGTGCGCAATCTGGTCCATGGAGGAATCTCCGCGGGACCGATCCAGCCCAGGCAAGATAAACCTTGCTGACCCCTGGTGTTGAGTTTCCCTATACAGTGGTACCTCAGGTTATGTACTTACCTAATTCGTTCCGGAGGTCCGTACTTAACCTGAAACTGTTCTTAAACTGAAGCACCACTTTAGCTAATGGGGCCTCCTGCTGCCGCCGCGCCTCCAGAGCACGATTTCTGTTCTCATCCTGAAGCAAAGTTCTTAACCTGAAGCACTATTTCTGGGTTAGCGGAGTCTGTAATCTGAAGCGTATGTAACCTGAAGCATATGTAACCTGAGGTACCAACTATAGTTTTCCCAAGGGGGTGGGGGTGGGGAGGTGAACTTCAGAGCAGACATGTATGGAATTGCACTATTTACAAATTAGTATCTCGCTGACATTGAACACCAGCATGGTTTAGGCCACATCCAGCTATGGCTTCCCCCCAGGAATCCCGAGAGCTGTATAGTTGAGGGTGATGAGAGTTTGTTAAGTGACCTCTATTCCCCTGCCCCCAGCTACATTTTCATAGCTCCCTTTGCAGATGGATTGTTAAACCACTCTGAAATGTGTAGCTCTGTGGGAAATAGGGGTCTCCTCTAGCAACTCTCAGCACTCTTTACACACTGCATTTCCCAGGGTTCTTAGTGGGAAACCATGACTTTTAAAAGTGGTATGATACTGCTTTCTGGTTGGGTTTGAAGAGATCAATATTATGGACAATTGTAATAAATGAAATTAAACTTACAATAGGATATGAATTTCCAGTAGAACATTAGCTATATTATTTGGATATGGATATGGTTTAACCAGCAGACACAACATTAAAAATAAATTTGGTAACAGCTGCTTGTATTAGAATCCGCTATGTTTGGGGAAAATGTATTCCGGCATTAAAAGATGGGATAGTAAGATTATGGGAATTGGCTGATATGGTGAAATCAACTCATATTGTAAGAGTGAAGGATGGAAGACAAGCAGATAATTTATTTATTGAAAAGTTTTGTTATGTACTGGTGCAATAAGACACAAGAAAGTTTTCAACCATATATAGAGTTGGAAGCAGTTAATGAACATGCAATACACTTTTACATATCCTCCAACATTTCTCCGATGAAAATAGGGACGTCATATTCCATAATGATAATTTTACTATTTATACCCCACACATCTTCCTGGGTTGCCCCAGCCACTCTGGCCAGCTTTCAACTTATATAAAAACATAATAAAACGTTAAACGTTAAAAAAAACCCACTTCCCTATATAGGATTGCCTTCAGACACCTTGAGAGTCAAATAACTCCATACCCTCCAACATTTCTCCCATGAAATGAGACAACCTAAGCTTCTCTAAATCAGGGATGTCCCTGGAAAATAGGGACACTTGGAGGGTCTTCTTTTAGGGTTGTATCCGGCTAAGTTCTACTCGGAGTAGCCACATCAAAAATTAATGGATATGAGTAACTTAGATACATTAATTGAAAAGGGTCCATTCTTAAGGAAAACTTGAATTGAATACATGGTTTCTTGTTTTTGTGATTGCTGCTGTATTAAACATCAATGAAGCATTCTTATACCAATCTTGCACCTATATAAAGCAATCAAATTTCTATTTTTTTTAGTGTAAAAGAAAACAAATCATAAAGCAATAATTAAATATTGTGTTGTATAGCATAGTTTTTACCCTAGCACCTCTCTCACTTGCCTAGGGAGGGTATTTCATTATTGGGGCCACCCATTTTTAAGGCTTTTTTGTTTTGTTTTAACAATAAAGCAACATATGAATTTCATGAAACTGATAAATAAATGTGTGCGTTTTCTCGTTTATCAAAATCTCTCTTCTGAATTACTACACTGAATCTGGAACATACATCTTGTACATACAAACATCTGGAACTTATATGTTAAGTGTATTTATTTGTATGTAAACACCGCTTGATCGTAACGTGGAAGCCAAGACGCTGTAACCAGGAGGCGAAATTCGCTGTGGCAAAGTCCTGTGGGCTGAGCACCATTTGTTATCTCCTCACGTGAGACAGCTGAGTATTTTTAATGCCTGGCAAAGGGTGGAGGAGGGGAAGGACGGACACTCGCGCCAGCGCACTGCAGTCGAGCAATGTTTTGATCTGTGTGCGTGTGGTGAAGGTAGCATAACAAAGGAGGAGGAGCAACAGCAGTAAGCGCCGCCCACAAGCGATAGGCAAAGCCGGCGGCAAGGGAACGGCACGTCGGCGCGCGCAACACCGGGAGGCGGAGTTTAAAAGACTAAAGCTCGAGCGTGCGCAGTGAGGACTTTCGCTTGTGAGGCGTGAGATGAAGTGACGCACGCCACGTGACAACATGGAGAAGGAAAACCATAGAGTGCAGAGATAATTGAAACCCGGCTTTCTTGCTTGGGCGGCTTCTTCGTCAAAGAAGCTTCTCCTGTTAATTTTAATTCTCAGTTCGAAGGGGCGCGTGAAGAAAAAAAAATGTTGTCGCTTTCAGGCGAAGGTGGCTGGGTGCACTGCTCCCCACGACGTGGCGGCTAAAGCGTCGCAGCGTTTGCCAACTCGCGCCGGAGGTGACGTCAACGCGCGCCGGAAACGAGGATGAACAACACTGGCCAATCCCTCCTTGGTTTTTTCCTTTTTGTTTTTTTGAGGAACTAAATCCTGGCACGGCCTCTTCCGCTGACTTCCCCGTCAGGTGACCCGCGTCGCTGGGTGGTCTCCGTTCCGGTCCTTGCCTGAGGGGAGTTGCAAGAGGGGCGGCAGGGGCCTGGTCGTGAAGAGGGAGAGAGCCGACCTGAGCCAGTAGAGCTGCCGGCAGGAGCTGCCGGAGAGCGCCGCGACCGCCGCTAGCCGAGCCGACCGCCGCACCGCCATGGCCAGCCAGTCGCAGGGCATCCAGCAGCTGCTGCAGGCCGAGAAGAGGGCAGCCGAGAAGGTGGCCGAGGCCCGGAAGAGTGAGTGGGCGGGCCGGGGCTGGAGGAGGAGGCGAGGTGGCTTAGTACTCTGGGTGCAGTTTTATTCATTTTTATTTATTCACTCACTCATTGGTATTTGTTTTTAAATATCTCTCTGCGTTTGTTGTCATTTATTCAATTATTCTTTATTATTTCATATTTCTCCATTCTTAAATGATGTGTTTCTATTTACTTATTCGTATTTCGTTATTTTTATTTATTAATGTATTCGTATTTATTCTCATTTCGTTATCTTTATTTATTTGCTTTAAATATTTATTTGTGTTTATTCTTATTCATTCGTATTTATTCATGGACAGGAATTCAAAAATGCAGGCTAAGACAACTATTCTAAAGCACTGAACAAATGGCTGGCACTGAATCAAATTGTCGTGGTTATCAATCCAAAGTGCTGGTTTTGACTGTGAGCCAAAAAATAATTTTCAGTTGTGGTGTCCTACCTTTGGAACTCTCTGCTCAGCAAAGCTTATCTGGCTGTGCCACCTCCTATATTTTTGGCACAATGCAAATACACTTTTTAGTTCACTCAAACTTTTCAGGAATTATTGTTTACCTAATTCTCATGTTATGTTGCATAAAAGTTGTTATCCTGACAACAGTTCTGGATGGCAAGGCAAGACTTATTATTCCCCATATTTTGCAGATAAGATCATAAGTTGCTAACCTTCAGTATTTTATTACTAGCCTATTAAGAGAATACCAGCCTATTTCATTGCTAGCCATGGAGGAGGGAAAACCCCATGCTCTGTGGTCAGCATGAAAAGGCAGGCAGGCAGAGGTGTGACGGAGCTGAGGCACAGGCTTCCCTTCTTCCACAGCTAGTACTGTAAGTAAGCAAATTATGGTGACCAGGAAAGTTTTTATAATGTTATTGGTCTAAGTATTGCCTCACAGAGTTTTTGGCAGAGGATGTGAAATGGCAGGGATTGAAGCTGGGATCTGCTGTCAGTAAGAACTGTCATCCCTCCCTCAGTGGAGGCAAGGCTGAAACTTTACAGTGGTTGTATGGAAAGCCCAGTAGTGAAAATGGCAGAGAAAAGAACTTACTGTTTCAAGTTTGAAAGGGTTAGCAATGAATAGCCTATGTTTAAGGGGTCTAACATTTGTATTTATGCAGCAGTGTGCAAAGATAAAATGACAAGGGGAGGCCCAAAGCATATCTGTGAGGTGGCTTGGGACTTAAAGGAAGGGTGAGGTGAGGCAACTGTTTCTCTGTTGTGCTGAGAGGTAGCTTAGAGGGACACATGAGAATAGTGTGGCTTGGAAGGAGATCATAAGATGAAGCTTCCTTATGTATAGTTGACTCTGGTCATTGTGAGCAACAGAGGTTCTACAAAATACTTTTTCAGATCAGATCTCCCAGAATCTGTTTGAAGTCCACATTGTGGTAATGGTTTCATAATAAACATTATGAAACATATATCACAAATCACAATGTGTACGCGGAGTAATTACAAAATCACAATGTGGGGAAAACTGAAGCTGGTCACCACTTCTCTCATGATTCTTGCCACCGCTGTTGCTCTGCTGCCTCTTCTCTTCCCTGCAGGGGACAGCGGACCACAAGAGCAAGCACTGAAGAAAGTCCTGGCAACTTTCCTCAGTAATATAGACACCATTAACTGCTTGTTTTAAGTGCAGGTGCCAGGTTGGTAGGTGGTTGAGGAATACGCTGGTCCAAAGTGGCTCCAGGCTTCTTGCTGGGAACCCATTTCCCACTTCCTTTTATTTTGGGCTCTCTGTGCTGGCAGGCCCTGCCTGTAGCAGCCACCAGAGCCCTTCTGGAGCAATCGCAAGAGCAGGAAGCCCCTTCCACCTTGCCTCCCCCATGTTGCCCAGCCCTCCCTTTTGAAGGGTTGCTGCCCTCAAATGTGCTCGCTTGGAAGCTATTGCTGGTAGCATTGAAAAATAAATGGCTGTAAATTACTTCTGAGTTTTAAAAACATAAAAATAAACCTTGCCCTCTTGTTTAAGCCTCTTTCCTCGCTTCTTCCCTTCTGTATCCCTTTGGTATTTCTGCTACTTATTCCTACAGCATTAACATTTGAGAAAATGTGCTAAATGTGCTATAAAATAACAGTTGCAACAATATATTAAAGGTAATTTAACGACTTTTTGGATCACTTCCGGATTTCACAGTATGCATGATCACATATCAACCAGAAACATGTGCATTGGTCATTGCTTGTACATAGTTCCATCCTTATTTCAGATATTGTGATATATCAGTATATCATGATGTTTAGTTGGTGACATATCATGATGCTGAAAACCAGGCATCGCCCAGCCCTAGTTGCAGCCCTTTTCATTTTTAAACTATGTTTATGTAGTATACTCATAAGCTGGAAGCCTAGTTAGTGCTTGCCTAGTTTGGGAAGGAGTCACCCTGCCAGAGCCCTGGAGCCTTCTTCCTAGAGCCAGACACCTTGTCCAGCTGATTAAAAGTGATGGCCGTTTTGGGGATGCTGCGAGAGCCCTCCGGCTGACCTCCCAAAGCCAGATAAAATGGACAGACTTCGAAATCTTCCACAAAATATTTAGCACTCTAAATTTTGCACCACAGAAGGTGGTGCCATGGCTCTAGCAGCATCCCAGAACCCTCACACCACCCTCCCAAAGCTGGAAGCCTAATTAGTGCTTGCCTAGTTTGGGAAGAAATGAAGGGCTCTAGGACCCTGCCAGAGCCCTGGAGCTTTCTTCCCAGAGCAGTCCCGGCAGTTCTTCTGCACAGGGCAGAGGTGGTACAAAATTAATAAGATCCATAATTGAGAAGATCCATGTCGGGGCGCCAGATAATGACCTCACACAGGCGCCATTTTATGAAAGATTACAAAGTCCGTCCATTTTGTCTGACTCGTAGGGATGTGGGATGCTGCCAGAGCTCAGGCACCAGAAGCCTATTAATTGCCCACCTTTCAGAAGGAGGGAAGGGCTCTAGGACCCTGCCAGAACCCTGAATTTTCCTTCCCAGAGCGCTACTAGCAGTTTCTCTGCACCGGCGCTGAGCTGAGTTGGCGCACAATTGAGAAAATCCACTTGGGGCGTCGACCTCGCAAAGGCACCATTTTATGAAAGATTACTGGTTCGTCCATTTTGTCTGACTTTTGGAGGGCGGTGCAAGGGCTCTGGGATGCTGCCAGAACTGTGGCACCGCCTTTTCAAAGCCAGGTAAACGTTATGCGAGATCACAGCTTAGTATGTGTAGACTAGGGTTATTTACTTGGGAGTTAAAAAGAAATAAAACTTTCCTTCTCCCCTTCTCTGTGTCCATGTTTCTGTGGCTCTCTCATGTCTGTGTTTCCCCTGCCTCATTATGTCCCCCATTTCCTCCTTACCCATGAAGTCTCCCCAATGCTTCTGTCGCCCTTTGCTTTCTTAACACATTTGGCCCCTCCAGCCCTATGCTTCCTTATGTGCCTTTTTCCTCTTCACTTTTCTTCTATCCCACTCACCCCTACCAGTGAAAATAGGGGGGAAGTGTTTTTGTTTTCTGGTTTTGTTGGTTCCCCCTAAATAGTTTCCTTCCATGCTAAAAAGGAAGGGATTTTTTAAAAGGGTTATCTCTTTGCTACATAATTTTATCCTTATTTAGACATCTGTGTTTGAAAAAGAGCTGATGTGTTAGGTAGGTTGTGGTGGGTCCTGTGGGGAAGGAAAAGGATGTATTGGGGTTAATGAAGAGTGTGTGTTTATAAGAGAGAAAATGGGCTACAAGTACAACATTTAAAAAGGCTGAGTCTTCAGTAGAAGAGGTGTGGTGGTGTGCATTTTGGAGATGCCTGGCTGTGGTCTCTTACATAGGGTTGCCATATTTCAAACAGTGAAAATCCAGACAGTTGTTTGGGCAAATGAGGAGGAGGCCACCTTGAGCTCTCTGGAGAAAAGGTGGGTTAGAGGTGCAATAAGTAAATAGTAATAGCCCTTGACATCTTTAATAGGTGGTTGTGCCCCCTACTAAAATATGAAAATAGCCCCAAAAGGTTGACATCAGATGCCATATGTCTGAATTTTCCTGGACATTTTTAGCAATTTCTGCCTGGACACTGCTTCTGGCTGCATTGTTTTGGATATGTTCATGAAATTCTGGATGTATGACAACCCTATTTTACAGCAAAGTCCAGGAGGGAAGAGTTGAGGACCTGTTTACTGAAGGAGCCCAAACACTGCAGGTAGAACTGGTGTGCTACAGGGGAACTTGTATGCTTTTTTAGGGTCCCTGCAGAACATTTGGCTAATCTTAGTAGAATAGTAGCACAGGAGTGAAGCAACAATACAGTCAGGAAGAAAAGGCTATCAAGTTTGGGCTGTGGCTTGCTCTTGGCTCCAAACACAGCTTCCACTTTTGGATGCATTGGGCAATCTTTTGCATAAGCTAGCTTACTCAGTGCAAACAACTTTTAGCCTGCAGATTGCCAGTTGTTTGTGGTGGGCAGATGGTCTGCAAAGTCATGTGCTGTGTAATCCTGCAATGATTGAACAAAAGCTTGGCATGCACTTAGGGACTTGGACTAGAAACGTAATACGCTGTAGTGTCTTGTCTATTGGGGATCGGGAGCCTTCTGCTCAACTAAAATTACTTTATTTGAATTAATCCACTTTTTTATATATTATTTTTGTGTGTGTAAATATCTGGAATCTTTCCCAACATGACTGCTTGGAGGAAGGAACTTGCTGGCTCGTCAGACCAGCGGAAGCATGTCATGTGCCTGAAAGACAGTGTAACAAGCAAGTGTCTGGTTAATCTGGTATGTTGGAAACTGTGACAAATCCCAAGCCTTGATTAAAGATGTCACTTCCAGTCAGCCCCAAATGTTCAAAAACTTAGTTGGGTTCACACATCATGGGGCTGGCCCACAAGTGTCATGTTCCAAGTTTCTTGACATGTATTGCAAGTTCAGCTATATATTTTGTGTATCTGTATCGTGCCCTTCTAGGAGGGGACAAAATATTCAATGCAGCAAACCAAGTGTACAAAAGTGTGAGGAAATGTTACACAGCTAAACAGTTCTGCTAGCACAAGCACCTTTGGCTGTGCATTGGAAATTCCCCTCCCTGCATGCCCCCTAAATATGTTCTAGGGCTTATGAAGGAGGAGAAATTAACAACTGTACAAGACAACTTCACGGTGGATCTTTCTAGACCCAGGGTGTGTGAAGTGCAGATCTCCCCTTCTGCCACCCTCCCCAAAAAACACACACACTGGTGTCTGGGGCTGGTTACATCCAGAGTGGGGGAACCCAGCAGTCAACCCTGGCTGCCCCAAAGCTGCAGAGGTAGAGGGGGGCTGAGGTGTGAAGCCCGAGACCTTTCCTTAGGAAACTCACATCCAGCACCCTACTTGTTTGGCAGTCTGCATAGAATTCCCTTTCCTCCTCCTTTTGTGCATTTCAGGGGGTTGGACTAGATGTCCCTTGGGGTCCCTTCCAACTCTACAATTCTGTGAGTCTGTAACACAGTTTAATGCTTTTTGGTAAACTAAGCTTTGTGAAAAGCTTGAATGAATTGAAAAAAAGTCTTTGCATGGTGCCCAAAATACAAGAGATGGGACTGCCAAACAAGCTTTCCTAGGCAGAGAGCTCCAGAGGTGGGACACCACTACTGAAAATTATTTTCTGGATCACACAAGCTCAAAACCAGCACTTTGGATTGATTGAATATGGAAACAAAAATGGTAACCTATGTAGATGGTATATCAGTGTTGTGTGTTCCAAGGTACCATCTCTCGTTAACATCCTAGCAGCTGCATTCTTGACCAGTTGCAGTTTCCAAACTGTCTTCAAAGGTAATCCTATGTAGACCATACTGAAGTTATCTTCCTGGTTTGTACACAGTGAATATCATCACTGCCCTGTAATTTGACTGCCCTATATTCTTTACCCATGAATGCATGCTTTAGGTTATCAAGGCTACCTGTGGCATTCTAAAGATTGCACACACAGTGTACATAACTGTAGCAAGAGACATACACACATGTTATGTTAGGGTGAATCGACCTTTTGGGGCTATAAATGTGTCTGTGAATTGACGTCACAGCTCAACAGCATTCAAATAAGTATTTTGCTCTTGCCTGTAACTACGTCATGGCTGAGAACTAGTATGGTGTGGTGATTAGAGTGTGCTGGATCTGGGGGACCAGAGTTCAAACCCCAATCACCCACTGGACAGACTTGTCACAGGCCTGTCATTGCCTCCCAGCCTAACCCACCTTGCAGGGTGGTTGCAAGCATAAAATGAGGAGGAGGACAACCATGCAGTCCACCTTGAGCTTTCTGGAGGAAAGGTGGGTTAGAGGTGCAATAAGTAAATAATAAATAGCCCTTGACTTCTTTAATAGGTGGTTGCACCCCCTGCTAAAATCTGAAAACAGTAGAGCAACTTAGCTGAATCAGTTTACAGTTCTTAACTGCTCCGATATCTGAGCACTCCTGCCTCTCTCTTTTTTTCTCCCCCTTCCCCCCCATAAAAAGGAAAGAACCGGAGGTTGAAACAAGCGAAAGAAGAAGCTCAAGCTGAAATTGAGCAATATCGCCTGCAGAGGGAGAAGGATTTCAAAGCCAAGGAAGCAGCGGTTGGTTATATTTCCATGCTAGCTAAGATTTTCTTTTCACTCCTCTCTTTTCTTCTCTGCCCAGATTTGCTACCTGCCCCTGTGGTGATTCTTGGAAGTCTGGGATATAACTGACTTAACAGCAGTTATTGGTGCAGAGATTAAGACCCTGTGGCCCTGCAGATGTTGTTAGGACTTCACTCTGTAGCTGATGATGAGTTGTAATCCAGCAACATCTGAAGGGCACAGGGTCATCATCCCTACAATCTAGACCGCTCTTCACTCGGTGGATATGTCGTAACTTCTTTCTAAAGACAATGGCCATTGTTATATCTTAAAGCAGTGGAATTTGAATCTCTTCTCCATCCTGCCCAATTTTCTGCCCATAATGTTTTTGGGGGTGAATGGGATTTTGCAGGGAAGCCACTTTCCTTCACACCATGTGTTATTCAACTTACATTTTCTGCCTCTTCCCCCTGTCAATTCATCCCCTAAGTGTAAAAAGTTATTCTAACCCTCTGATCATTCTGGCTGCCTTTCCTCCCAGTTCTATGATACACTCTTCTTCAGACCCCCATTCAACTCCAGCCTAAAAAGCTAAACTGGCATGCACTCACACGCATATACAGTGGTGCCCCGCAAGACGAATGCCTCGCAAGACGGAAAACCCGCTAGACGAAAGGGTTTTCCGTTTTGGAGGTGCTTCGCAAAACGAATTTCCTATGGGCTTGCTTCGCAAGACGAAAATGTCTTGCGAGTTCCTGCAGGGTTTTTTTTCCTCCCCCCCCCCTTTCCCAAGCCGCTAAGCCGCTTAACAGCTGATCCGCTAAGCCGCTAATAGCGCTAAGCCGCTAATGGGCTTGCTTCGCAAGACGAAAAAACCGCAAGACGAAGAGACTCGCGGAATGGATTCTTTTCTTCTTGCGAGGCACCACTGTACATCAAGTATTTATCCACCTTTTTCATTTTTCATTTTTTTTAAAAGTTAGGGCTTCTAGATGTAAATGAGGGCATGTTCCTTGTAACTTAATAGTTTCACAGAAAAGGAGAATTGTGTTTGCTGCAAGGTTGAGAATGTGTACTAGTCGGGAGCCCCTCTTTGCAACTGATTAATAGTAAAAAGGACCTGTGCTTGGTCACTTTCTCTCACCATTCTTTTGCAACATTATTTTTTAAATGCTGTCAATAGCAGTTGAAGTTCAGTACAGTACTTGCTAAGAATGTGGATTTTCCAGTCATTTGTACCAACATGTTTAAAATTATAACTTATGTTTTTGTTTTGGTTTTGGTTTTTTTGTTGGTTTTTTTGGATTTTGGGTAGCACTTCTCCTTTCATTATACAGTCGTACATCCACTTACGTATCCCTCTGGTTACGTAAACTTCGGGAAACGTAAGCAGCAAACCCAGAAGTATATTTCGGGGGTTTTGCCACGCACACACGCATAGAAGTGCTCTGCTGCCGTGCATGCATGCACAGAAGCGGTCTCTCCTGTTGCGAAAACCTCGGGATCCGGCCGGACCTCTGGAACAGATCCTGTCCGCAACCGGAGGTACCACGGTATTACAGGAAGGGCATGTTTCAGGTGGCCTTTGAAGCCTGACCACTAGTCCCTCTAGCCCAGACTTGTCTATACTGACTGGCATTGCCTCCTTAGGGTTTCAGACAGGGAGTCTTTGCCATACCTAACTTGGGAATTCAGGGACTGAACCTGGGATTTTCTGAACTTTGGCCCCCTAGCCATGCTTGCTGTGGTTGAAAGGAGTTGCAATTCAGCAGCATCTGGAGGACTGAAAGTCCCCACCCTTGCCTGGAGGGCCACATACGCAAAGCTGCTGAGATCAGTGGGGCTTAAGTAGATATGCATAGAATTGTTCTGGATTGAGGCACTGAAGAATCCTAGAAAAGACATGAAATTCCTTCTGGTATGAAATGTACTTTTCGGCATTACTGCTTGTTGAATAAACTTTCCTCCCCCCTTGTTGCCTCAGGCTCTTGGTTCCCATGGCAGTTCCACCACTGAGGTGGAAAAGGAGACTCAGGAGAAGATGACCATTCTCCAGAACAACTTCCAGAAGAACAGGGAGGAGGTGCTGACTAGCCTGCTCAACTTAGTTTGTGACATCAAGCCAGAAATCCACTTGAACTATCGCATCAATGGATAGGGGGGAGGGGAGTGTTTTGGCATTCAGGAAGTATTAAGCAATACCGACTCTAGCTGTGCCCCTCCTTTTGTAACAGATCTTAACTTATTTCAGAGAGTTGTAGATAATCTTTTTGCCTCTTCTTTCTAAAACTCCTGAGAACCTTTTGTAGCATTTTTGGAGCTCATCCAAAGATACATATATACTAGTTACATGTCTCAAAAGTGCATTATGATGGAAGGGTAATATTGTAAGACTTGTGATAAGTATTGCGCATTCTGTCCCCATGAAGTATTTTAAAGTTAGGAAGGATGAGATCTCCAATGCTATCTTCTGTATACCTCTTAAAACTGGAAATGTGTGAGCCTGGTGCTATGGCCAATGACAAGCTCACACCAGCAGAGGGAGGAAGTTTTGTTCATAAAGAGTTGTGAGTCTTACCGTACAGACTAGTCCAATGACTTGTGATGGTGTGTTTTCTTGAAGTAGATTCTGTTTGAACAGCTATACTCTGTATATCTTCCTGTTTAACTTGAACTAGAATCCTGCCCTTACAAATGTTTGAAGAAAAGTAAAAGTCTGTGATTGGATTAAAATGTGTTCATTTCATTCAATTTATGAATTGCTTCCCATAAAATGTTTTAAAGCAATGCCACAGTAAAAAACCAATTCTGTACACACAAACGAGCAATTCCATATGTAGAAGCATTTTCAGTTTCCATGGAGATACATACTGGGATAAAGAGCTTTGTGCAAAAGTCTTGTTGGACAAGAAACACATAAGTGCCAATAAGAATAAGAATAAAGGTGATGGATCTCTGATTTGCAATGGGAAGGAATTCCAAAGGATAGGAGCCTTTACACTAAAATGATTACTCCTCTCTTCATCTTCTCCCCGCCCCTCATGGTTAACTGAATGAGTGGGTGGGTACTTTTGTCATTCCAGTGGTGGTATTCTCTTGTAAGTCACCTTCCCAGGTCTGCAGGCTGGCGCAAGAACCAGATGTGAGTAAGGTGGGTGATGTGACTCTTGTTTTACGTATCTGCTAAGCCACATCAATTGCTCTACTCGTATCTGGTCCATGCACAATCCAAGGTGTGCAAAATATCCATAATTCATCTGGCAAGCAGGAGGCATCGTCACAGTTCAGGGACACATTCCTGCGCAGCAAAAGCAGTCAAGGAGGTTGCACATTGAGGCCAGTGAGGTGGGGTAGCTTAAGAAGGAGCTCATCCTCAGGTGATTTCCATGGGGTACATAGAAGAGCTGATTTTATCTCATGGATGAAAACTTAATTATCATATTAAAACGTGGCTTAGCCACATTTGAGTAAAACAATTAGACTTTCAGACCCTTTGTGAGTTGGGGAAGGAGAACTGTGACATCTCAAACATAATTTAAAGAATGCCTTTAAACTTAGAGCTCTCGTGCTGGCAGTGGTGGAACCTGCAGTTCTCATCCTTGATCAATGGCTGTGCTGACTGATATATTCAGATTGAAGTCTCACAATATTTGAAGAGCCACAGGTTCCCTATGGCAACTGCTGCACCTCACCTGAGCTCTCTGAATTGTAGGGGAAGGGAAACCTGCAGCCAAAGGGTCATAATTCATTGACAGAAGGTCTGGACGATATATCAATATATTGCCCAGGACCAGCATTAGGAGTAGACCGTGATGTCAGTGGTTTCACTCAGTGGTTTATCGCTGGTGAAACCACTGCCCAGCCCTAATTGACAATGCATCTGCTTTGCATGCAAAAAGTCTCATGTTCAATCCCTGGCATTTACAGGTAGGTCTGGGAAGCTGTCCCTGTCTTAGACCCTGGAGAGCTGCTGCCAGTCATCTAGCTACTAAGCTAGATGCAGCAATGATCAGAGTTGGTGTAAGGAAGCTTCCTGTGTTGCTAAAGTGCTGCTTTTGCCTGTTGCAAAAAGAAACAAAAAGATGAACCAAATAAGGCCTACTCTCTATCCTAGCACCAAGCAGATGACTGCATATGAGTATAGACTTAGTATTTGGTCTCGAGTCATTTCATCGTGCCAGAAGTCTTCTTAGGGTGGGGTGGGAGGAGAAGCTCTGCAGAGGTTTTGCAGAAGCAACCGAGAGTTATCACTACTGCCTTCACCCAAGTCAGTGTGCGGTGAAACAGTTTCTGTTTTGCTGAGCCATCTGGCGTCAGCTGAAGAGTCAGACAGGAGTTGCATAAATAACATCGTAGGCTCTTATATCTTTATATTTTGCATTTGGGCAGATGCCAGTGCACAAAATGTTCTGTGTCATTCTAACATCCCATGCATGTTAGAACACAGGAGAGCCTTGCATCAGACTGAAGGTGTGTCTAACATCTTGTTCTGTCCGTCACCAGCTCCCACCAGCAAACAAGCTTCCTGGAGGGGGCTGTCACTGTTGTTACCTAGTGACTAATATTCAGAAGCATTCTGCCTCATCCTCATTGAGTTGCTGCTGAACTACAACCAGCATCCTTGGCTCTGCTGGCTAGGCCTGATGTGTGTTCCGAGCACCTGGTATACAGCCATCACCAGTAGCCATTATTTTCCAGAAAATTGTCTAATCCCCTTTTAATGGCATCTAAAAGGCTGACCTTTGCCCCATCTGTGGATTGTGTAAGCAAAATACATAGTAGGAGTGGCAGCTGGGGGAAAAGGGCTTCTGCTGCTGCTGTGGAGTTTGACAAAGCAGTTGACCAGAACTGTGCATGGAATGTCCCATTCATATCTCTCTCTCTCTCTCTCTCTCTCTCTCTCTCTCTGTGTGTGTCTGTGTCTGTGTGTGTGTGTGTGTGTGTGTGTGTGACAGAAAGAGATCTCATGGTGCCACACGAGATTTTATGAATGGCATTTAATAGTTTGTCCTGTTCCTTAGTGACTTCCCTATTCTGTTGCCAGAGTCAGCTTTCTATTATGGCTCCAAATCTTTCATGGGCTCATCTGTATATGGAGTTGAGATTGCTAATTGGGCGGTGTGTTCAAAGCCATTGATGGGAGTATGGAGTCATTAGCTGGTAATAAAAGCATGTCCCAGTTTGACCTTACACTGTAAAAAATAATGCAACACCACCTGCTGTCTTTTGTGGGTGGTGGCTCAAAGTAATTTGTTAATAATCACTTTGGATTTTTTAAATACTTATAACCTTGATCACTGATTCATTTTAATAACTTCTGTACTGCTTATTATAATATAATCTCTTAAGTGGTTCACACAAGTTACAAGCAAAAAATCTCAAGCAAAAAATCAGTATATCGCATCAAAATACAATAAGAATCTAGTAAAACATTAAAGCAGAAATACTGAAATACTTGTGGCCTGTTCCAGTAGCTTGATGGAAAGACATAGTGACCCATGAGCCATGTTCAAACAAATGTTGGCATCTGTCTGTCTCAAGTGTGCCTCGGGGTGAAGTCAGAACACTGGGGAATTGCAGCGCCTGCTGTGGCTGCAGAGACTAGTAATTTATAACTGTTGCCTCTTGTGTTGTTTTTGCTGCATTAGCAGCACCAAAGTGAACCTTCTGAAGCCCAAGCCTGGGCAGTGAGTTTGGAGGGCTTGGGCTGCCCAGACGACAAGACCCCCCACTTGGTGTCGCTGATGTGGTCCAGAGGAAAGCAGAGCAATATGTTTGGAACCAGCTTGGCTGCAGGAGTTGCCGGAAGGAGGCCTACAAGGCACCATCCAACTGTCTTAGGGTCTCCACTCTGGATTTGTGTAGGATCTATTCCTTAGTCTTTTCTTCTCCTAAATATGCCCCACAAGGCAATGGGTATATATTTTTCTCACAGTTTATTCCCATAAGTTTTCTCCTGCAAGGCATTGGAGGTTTAGGATCAGAGTTTTATTTCTATACAGTGGTAACTCGGGTTACAGACGCTTCAGGTTCCAGACTCCGCTAACCCAGAAATAGTAGCTCGGGTTAAGAACTTTGCTTCAGGATGAGAACAGAAACTGCATGATAACGGCGCAGCGGCAGTGGGAGGCCCCATTAGCTAAAGAGGTACCTCAAGTTAAGAATAGTTTCAGGTTAAGAACAGACCTCCAGAACGAATTAAATTCCTTAAACCCAAGGTACCACTGTACGGGCTACCTTCCCAGGTTGAAAGTCCCATCTGCCGCTCACTTCCCTCTACAGCATATGCAGAAACTACCACCTAGACCATGGGTAGGGAAACTAAGGCCCGGGGGCCAGATCCGGTCCAATCACCTCTCAGTCCGGCCCACGGGCGGTCCGAGGAATCAGCATGTTTTTACATTAATAGAATGTGTCCTTTTATTTAAAATGCATCTCTGGGTTATTTGTGGGGAATAGGAATTTTTTCATTTATTTATTTTTCCAAAATATAGTCCAGCCCCCCACAAGGTCTGAGGGACAGTGGACCAGCCCCCTGCTGAAAAAGTTTGCTGACCCCTGTAGACCCATTATTTGTCTCATCCACTAAGTCCACCAGAGCTTGTCTTTGCATGCAGGGGAAGTCCCTAACTCACCAAGGGTTTGAGAACCATAGGCTACCCTCACCTGCTTTAGCTGCTCAGTCAAAGCCGTTTCCTGAGGTGTGGCCACCATAGGTGAGAGATGAGTGCAGGGTTGGGGACAAAAGGTGAGCAAACAACCCCAGAAGGAGCATGACGGCCTTCACCAGAGGTACTACACCTCTCCTAACCCCAAACACTGCATTCAAGCAATAAACTCTGGTTAATCTTAACTATTGCCTGTTGAAACAAGCCAGCTTCACAATCCATGGTTTGAATATGGTTACTTTTTCAAACTGGTCATGGTGAAGACCAACCATACACTCCAACTTATGAAGCAGATTGGGGCAGCTGGTGTTGCGTGTGCGACACATGGCACTTGTGTTGCTTGTGTGTGCGAAGTCACTCGCATGCACCCTCAGCGGTGCATGTTGAGCATCCCAAGTGATGAGCGCTGAGCAGCCCGAGCACTGGCTTTTCCTGCTGCTGAAAGAGGCCCTGGCTCCTTCTGGCGTCGTGCAGAACATAGTGTGTGTGATGTCCTATGTGCTGAGTGTCCCGAGCATTACATGTGCCGTGCGCAATGTCATGTGCATAATGCTCAGTGTGACATTGGGAAGAGCCAGGGCCTCTTTCCGCTGCAGCAGGAGGAGGAGAAGCTGGCCATGGAAGCCACATCTCAACGCTCAGCCTCCCCTCCCTGAAATATTATTCAGGGGCCCAAAGAGCTCAGCACCCACCCCCAAGGTGGCACCCCTAAGACCAACCAGAGTGTGTTGGGGCCAAGCTGTGATTAATGAAAAACAAGCCAAATGAGGCTTTCAAAGGCATGGAGAGACATTGCAAAGCTGGCTGGAGCTGTATGAGATTTCACTTAGCTGCCATATAGCAAGTCAGACAATTGGTCCATCTGACTCAGTATTGCCTCTTGCTTATCTGGAGGGAGGATATAAAGTTCTGTGTGAATGTGTGTATAAACTACAGTAAGGCACAAAGATAAAATTTACATTCATTGTTCCATCCATTTTTCCCTCTGGCCCTATCCACCACTGACATGTGGACCCCAGTTGGTTTGCCCAGAAGGGAATGTGGCTCTCAGGCTGAAAAGGGCCTCCCACTCTGATTTGTGTGCTGTTAAAGCACTGGGAGCCAGAGGAGAGGGAGCTAAAAATAACACTACTGATTTCATATGCAGCCGTTCACAGAGGATTTAAGAGTGCCCAGAAAGAGGCGACAGGAGGCCCTGAAAAAGATCCAGTAGAAAAGAAGGTGAGGATTTGCAGGCCAAGTCTCTTGAAGCTGAGATGTCTCTCCTGTTAAGGAAGCCATGGATTTTTCTTCTATGTTCAGCCTTCAGACAATAATAAGAAAAATCTGTAGAAGGGTACAAAGTCAGCACAGCTTATCCACATTACAGAACAGCAAAAAGCTTTGACACAGGCAGATAAACAAGTGCTGCAGAACTTTGCCGGATGCTTGTAGGTTTACAATGGTTGCTTCCAAGCAGGTTGTAAAGGAAAAACTGAAATGGTCAGAGGCATCTTGTTGACATAGATTAATTACAGATTAATTGCCACAATTAAGTACAAGATAGCAGCTCTCCTTGCCATTTAAGGACCCACTCAGAGGATCCCTGCCCTTCCAACCAAGAGAGATTGAGAGCCGTAATCTGTATCTTCTATACCACTTTAGGCTACAAAGTGTGGGTGAGTGGGGAGGAGCCAGTGTGAGAAGAGGATGCTGGACTAGGTGGGCCTTTGGCCTGATCCTACAGGGCTTTTCTTGTGTTCCAGTTTGTGTTGTTTGGAGAAATATGAATTAGGTAGAATTGCCTTTAAATCTGACCTGAACTGAACCATTCCCCAATCTCTACCCACGTGTCAAAATAAAGGAAGATAAAGAAGCATGAACTACATAATGAAAGCTCCAGATGCACCTGTATGGGGGAAGGAATACCACAGTTTAGGGGCTGCCACAAAGAATGCCTTTTCCCAGGCTGCCACCCCCTTAATGTCCGAGGGTGGTGGAACTATCAAGAGGGCCCCTTTGGAAGCCAAACCACAGGATTTGAGGAACACATGACTGAATTCCTTTGCAGTCACTAAGCTGCCTTGCTGGTCTGAGCTGAGAAAAATATTTTGGTCGGCATTCAGCAAGACTTTCCATATTTTTTACCTGCTTCCTCCCAATCTAAACAATCCTGCAATTCTATGGAAACCTTACAGCATTTTGATCTTTGACGCTCCTTCCTGTTTGGAAGAGGACCAGATGTTTATGACGGAGTTCTGCACAGCAGTAGAAGGAGGCGGCAATGTAAGCGCTCTCTCTCTCTCTCTCTCTCTCTCTCTCTCTCACACACACACACACACACATTTTCCATAGGTTATTGTCTTTGTTTTTTACCGCAGCTCATAGAGAAGCTGACTCATGCACAAGAGACCTAGATTATTTTAGTGATGAAGGAGAAGGGAGTGCACTTCCTACCCTAAGGGACCTCTGAGGATGGAAAGCTAGTCCAGCTTCTCATTCATAATTCCCAGCAAGTGGTTGAGTAATGGTTGGGTGGATGGTTACAGAAGAGATGATCAAAAATTCCCAAGTTTTTCTTGTTTCTGTTTCTGTTGGGTGTATTATGCAACATGCCACTGATGCAATCATAGCGGGCTAGGTACAAGCCATATACAAAAGACAAGCGAAAATGAATTTATTAGTGTAGAGCAGTGGTTCCCAAAGTGGAGGTAGGAGGTGGGATTCCCTAGGGCCAAGGAGGGTGTGTGTGTGTGTGTGTGTGTGTGTACGTGTACGTGTACACTGGAGGTGTAAATGACTACCAGGCTTTGAAAAGCTGGTAAGACTGGATCAAGTTCATCAGTTTGGTTGAGTTAATTAAACTGGATAGTTTTAACTGGATTTTGAATGAATAAAAGCTTGCTGCTTTGAATGTCATTGTGATATTATCTTTCTTAGTGGCTTGTGCGCACTGCTATTCTGAATAATGCTCTTTATAGGGTAGAGGGCACTGGGGATAAATCCACGGAACCAAAGGACCTTGAGAACCAAGAGTATGCAGCCCATATTCTTTCTTCATTTTTTGTACAAGTGGGGTCTTGTGTTTCTGGTTTGCAATGCATAACAAGCCTCACAAGTGAAAGAGTGCAGACTATGGATTGCACTGAGGGCTGTGCAACAGATTTGGCTGATGCATGACCCAGATCAGCCATATTTGGGTGACTTCGGTACAGCCATGGATCGTTACAAGTTGGGTTGGATGGCATCCATGGCCATCAGGCTATGGAATGTCAGACAGGGAGAATAGGCAGGCACTGGGTGGGAAACCCCCCCCCCACAATAACCCTACCCTGACCATGGGCTGTGTCTTTCTGGGGAAAGGTAGGTGCCTGCCACCTGCCACTCCTTCCTGCCTGAGACCTGTTCTGAAGCAGCAGCACTCAGGATCCATCAGTGGAGGCATCAATCCTGTGTGGTGCACGGTGCTCCTTTGCAAGAGGCCTCCATCCAGAGCAGCAGTTTGCAAAAGAACATCATGCAGGGGCTGTGCCTCTCTTCAAAGGAGGTGCTGCCCCTGCTTCCCACAGGATTTTCCTTTGAAAATGTTTTTTCAGAGAACCTGCTTGTGAAGGAGCAGCCTAAAAAACTGACCCCCATCCCTGCTCCTGGTCAAGAGTGGTGAGGCAGAAAGAGATCAAATTTCTCCTCCCCCCCCAGCCATAGGTAATTAAACACTAGCCCCTTCCCAAAATTAATTCAGGACCAGATCAAGGGTGTGGCAGGTGGTCCTCAACTTGGTTGACTCAATCAACTCATGGACCCCCTGATTAGGGCTACATGACCTGTTTGCACCCTATATCCCAGGGATGGAGAACCAGTAGCCTTTTTGTTATTGGACTTCAGCCATCATCAGCCTTAGCCAGCATCACCGATAATCAGGGATGATGGGATATGTAGTCCAGAAACACCTGGGGGACCATAGGTTCCCCACCCCTGCTATATACTAACAGAAATGCATTCTCCAAGTGTCAATAATTATGTAGCCAGAAGGGGCATTGTACATGCACAGGGAGGAATCAGCATAAGCACCAAAAATATTTAGTGGGACGGACAGACCCACAAGGGGTTGTGGGAACCTAAAACAATTCATTGAGGACTGAGCATACTCTGTGGTAAAATAATGCTGAGTGTTGTTTTCTTAGCAGGGTGATTGTGGAGGGGTAAGGGTGTGGGATATCCTGGGGAAGGGAGTTGATGCCCTTTGGGACTGATAGGGCAGAAGGCGAGGAATTCAAACAGTAAGTGGCTCTAGAGCCAATGACAGGCTGAGCTGGCTAATTCTGATTCTGTCCCCATCCTGAGTTCTGCAAGAGCAACACTGAGAATAATGAGGAGGGAGCTGATAGCTAAGGCCACCCCCTGGCTAGTAGTAACGATGAAGGCAGGCAGGCAAACAGATGGCAGCTGTCTGATTGGGAACAGACCATAGTTGGTAGGAGAAAGTCCCATTCACTGCCATGGACTAGCCTCCTGTGGTAGAGCCTATGTTTTAACTCCAGGGAAAACAAAGCAAAACCCTGAACAGCAGCCAGTGGAGTCTGGTCTAAAAGGGGAAATGGGTGCTGTCCCATCAGCCTCATTCTGTCCTTAGTCAGCTGCCACCTGCCCTCCTTCCTATTTACAAACAGTCCAGTTGATGGACAGTTAGCTTAGCTGTTAGCCTGCTCCTCCTTATTCTCAGTGCTGGCATTATAGAGCTGTGAAGAGAATAGGATAAGATCAAATCTAGAATGAGTTAACTCTGTCATTGGCTCAGGCTCCACCTAGTGCTGGCTTCTCAGCCTTCCTCCCTACCAATCTCAATGGGCACCAACCACTGATGACAGCAGCTCTCTACATTGCAACATTTTGTTTCAGCCTCCCCTCCCCACTCACGGTACCTTAATGACTTGTACATGTTTGTGTATGTGTGTTTAGGCGCATGAATTGAGAAAAAGAAATTCAACAAAGAGAAAACAGCAGAGAAGACAAAACATTGACAGGCTGAGTTTCTGAAAGTGCAGCAGAAAAAGAGGGCCCTGTAATTGGATTATGACATAACTTGCATTTTCCCTTGCTTGGCAAATGCAGGACCTATGTTGCATACATTCATGGGCCTCTTGCCAAGTCTCGTTCCACCCACTGTTGATGAGTATATAACATTGCTTCAGATAGTGACTCAATGAAGCTTCATGAAAGGAGGAGGATGTGAAGTAACAGAGGCAGAACTCTGCAACAGATCTTCTACTGAGAGCTCAGACAAGTAGGTTTCCATCTCAGGACCCATCTTGAGCTTGCTTGGCCTCCACTTGCAACCCTTGACCACCTCTCAGATCAGATATCACATGATTAGCTTGGTGTTTCCTAGGACAGATTAACTTCCAGGTGGAAGATGTGGATGCAGAAAGCTGGATTTTCCATCATCTGATTCTAAAATTCTTGAGTGACACTGCTCTGCAATATGGCTTGTTGGAAAAGGCAAGTGGACATGTCTAAGGAAGACGAATTACCATTCTCCGTGTCTTACTGTCAGACCCAAGGGGAGGAACATTCAGACTACTGGAAGGAAGGTAATGTAGATGAATGCACTGTTGATTGCCAAAAATGAGGTGTAGAATAGTCAACACACACTGAACTAAACATGGGTCACATCCAGACTGTCAGTGTTTTGCAGGAGGGATTAAAACTCAAACAAGGAAATTTAGATATGTGCAATTGCAGCTGATTTAGGGGTTTGTTTTCCCAATGTAGCAAATCCACTTTAGGAAAAGAAACAGATATTTTGTGGTTAGGTAAGTGAAGGAGAAAAGAATGAAATAAATGAATGAATAATTGGAAGACGCTTAAACACTGCACAAGCAAATCAGGATGAATGAAGGGTGAATGCTTATTGTTGTATAACCACAAACCAAACAGAATGAGTTGGATATAATTTATCCTCTGTGCAAGCTTTGAGCAAGCAACAAAGGCAGATTTAGGAGAGTGCAACTGGTTTAGTTGCACTGGGTGCAGAGCATGGAAGCGCCATAGGGGGTGCTGCAATTATGATGTAGAATGGAAGGCAAGGGGGGCCACTGAATTTGGCATTGCACAGGGCACCACAGGAATTTGAGATCCCAAGGTATGTCATTGCAAGCAAATCAAAATGAATACTCAATGAATAGCTTGTCTGGAGGAGCCCATAGAAACTATTCGAGAGAAAGAATTTCCATCCATGAATCGCCTTGTGTTGATATTTAGGTATATTTTAATGCACTGTAGTGTCTTTAATGGACTGGGCTTCAGCAGGTTTCACATTTAAACAAATGCAATTTAAAATATGGTTACCAGATTTTTTTCAAGGAATTCAGGGACACTTTTTTGGGGGGGGGGATTTCATGCTTTATTTTAGGAAAGGGTCTGGGGACGTCTGGTAACCCTAATTTAAAACAAAAGAATAATGTGGTAAAATTTATGGCAGCCATTGCACGATCAGTTCAATATGATACTTCAGTGATGTCTTTTGGAGGATCAGTAGGCTATTCCCCCTTCCCTGCTCCAGAAATTGTTGGACAACCTTTACCGTCTCTTTTCCTTCAAGGATGATGATAACTCAATGGTACAGCAGTGTGCAGATAATTGCATACAGATAATTGTCCCTGGTACCTCGAGCTATAAATGGAGTGTGTGCATTATGGCTGAGACAATACTTCTGCCTAAGAAATAGCCTTCCTAAACCTGAGACCCTCTAGATGTTTGGACGGCATCTCCTATCATTCCTAACCATGCTGGGTTGGGCTGATGGGAGTCGTAGTCCAAAACATCTGGAGGGTCCCACGTTGGGAAAGACTGCCATGGAACCATAGAGATGGGTGGGATATTGGAGGCCATTAAATGAATCCCCACACTATACAGTGCGGGGTCTATGGCACAGGGTGTAACTACAGCACCTGCATATATCATGTTTCCTTTGCATTGAAATGAATGGCTTGGAATAACGTACTAAGAATATATTCTATAATCTACATAATTAATTGCTTAACTTACGTAAGTTATGCAACTTCACCACAGCAGAACAGAGAGAAAAATAGCATAGTTTTTGGAAGAAAACCAATTGCAGCAGAACTGATTGCTGCTTGCGATGAATACAGAATGCCCTCTGGCTCATTCCTGATTCTGTTGGGACCACAGTTGCCATCAGCCCAAGCCAGCGTGGCTAATGATCAAGGATGATGGGGGTGGAAGTTGAACAAGTTCTGGGAAGGTTTCCCATTAGCTGTCCAGTCAAAGAATCTATGAAGCTGAATCTTTTCTTTGGAAGGGCTGAAAGCTCAGCGACAAGGTCCCTGCTTTCCACACAGAACAATTTCCATCCTTAGCATTCCCAGTGGGGATGGGGGAGAAATTAGATTCAGTTCACACTTAAAATCACACATACGTAAACCACAGTTTCCAAAATGATAAGTTAACTCAAACACAGCCAGCCCCCAAAATTTGCACTTTATGGAATTTCACAACACAGATCTCAAACTGAGTAATGCAGACAAAGAAAAATCGTACCCTGTGCACAGAAGTGCATATATTAGTGAAAATAGCCTCAGTCAGTTTTATTGCACATAGCCAAAGGCTGCCGCAATGTACACAGAATTATTTGACAATTAAAAAAATATATACTGAATTGATAAAAAAAGGACTTAAAACATTTACATTATTAAAACATTACGTACTCTAAACAAAGCTATGAAAATACCCCAATGTACAAATAAAAACATTAAACAATAAAATTCATAAGCTAAAATCATCACATGGTCACTAATGTTAAAAACAATATCAATTAATACAGTGTGCAATTTATACTCAGAGTGTGGTGACAAAGATAGAGCATAGCCTGAGGTAGATAGATAGGATCAAATAAATTCATCACCTTTACAGTTAATGGCTACCTTGGCTATATCATTTGCTCTAATTTTCCTAGCAGCAGTTGCAAAAAGTGCTACCCGCCAGGTCACATACTTATCTGTGTCTGCAAGGAAATATAAAATCATGTCAAGGGGGTTCTGTCCAGGGGTAGTGAAAATAGCATGCAAGCATGCATTTATCGGGGGAAACGATTTGTATACTAGGAGAAGTATGTACAAAAATGCAAATGAACTTTCATGAGAATTATTATTATTATTATTTGCAAACTGATGTGGAAATTGGAGAACTGAGCTTTAGACAGGAAAAATGTGAAACAAACTGACAAGAGTTGCTCATCCCTATTCATGGCTAATCAGAGATTCAACTCCAAATCTCCCAGGCCAGAGCAATCTACTACAGTGGTACCTCGGGTTACATATGCTTCAGGTTACATACGCTTCAGGTTACAGACTCTGCTAACCCAGAAATATGACCTCGGGTTAAGAACTTTGCTTCAGGATAAGAACAGAAATCGTGCAGCGGTGGCGCAGTGGCAGCAGGAGGCCCCATTAGCTAAAGTGGTGCTTCAGGTTAAGAACAGTTTCAGGTTAAGAATGGACCTCCGGAACGAATTAAGTACTTAACGCGAGGTACCACTGTACTTACATGGACAAATATGTATCCTCAGAATCCTTCTATATTCCTAATTTCTAAAGGATCTCTGGTTGTATTTCTGGGAAGGACTCATGCATTAAATACTTGAGAGATGGTTCTACTTAGAGGAGACCAGAAGATATCCAGAATGGTACATAGCCAATGATCAGAGATCAGGGAAGATATAGTGCAGAACATTTGGAGAACACCACATCCTTTCTGGGACCATTTCCACACAAAGCACATGCACTGCTATGACATGATAGCCACTCCACAATGCTTATACTCAGTCTTCTTTACTGTTGCCTTCCAGATCTTCACAATGGGCAAATGCTTATGGTTCTCACAGCTCACGAGTCCTGTTTTTCTACGTTTTTTGATATGAATCTTTGGGTAGAGAGATTGAAGACCATGGGAATTCAGGTGAGGGTTGCATATATCTTGTTGAATCATGCAGAGATAAAAGCCACCAGATGCAATATAATTTGATTGTGCAAGGAAAAAAATCAGGATGAACCAGATCGCAAGGAGTAATTAGTACTTTTAGTACTTTTTGCTGCTATCCAAGCGTCGTCTTCTTCTTCTTCTTCTTCTTCTTCTTCTTCTTCTTCTTCTTCTTCTTCTTCTTCTCCTCCTCCTCCTCCTCCTCCTCCCCCTCCTCCATTATTGCAATTGTTATTTTGACTCCAAGCTGTCAGCTAAACTTATTTCCTATTGAAATTAATGGGGCAGTTGGAGGCAGCAAAGCTTCTGAATACCAGTTGCTGGAAAACACAGGCAGGGTGAGTGCCCTTGTGCTCAAATCCTGCTTGCAGGTTTCCCACAGACATCTGGTTGGCCCCTGTGAAAAAAGGATGCTGGATAAGGTGGACCATTGGCCTGATCCACAAAGTCTCTTCTTATGCTCTTAAGCTCTTATGCTTAGTAGGACTTTTGACTTACCTAGGACCCTCGTACCTACGGGACCACCTCTCCTGGCATGCCCAGCAGAGGACCTTACGGTCCACAAATAATAATACTTTGGTGGTCCTAGGCCTCAAGGAGGTTAGACTGGCCTCAACCAGGGCCTGGGACTTTTCAGCCCTGGCCCCAGCTTGGTGGAATTCTCTATCACAAGAGACCAGGGCCCTGCAGGATGTGACATCTTTCCGCAGGGCCTGCAAGATGCAGCTGTTCTGCCAGGCCTTTGGTCTGGGCCCAGTCTGACCCCCTTTCCCCCATGAAGCCCTGTATGTAAGTGGCCCCCTTGGCGCTTTCTATCAGCCCATATGGGACTAGCACGAATGACCAGGCCTGGCGAACATTTAATATTCTGACCCTCATGGCTGTGATTCGTGGGTTGCCACTTCATTTTATATTGATTTTACTGTGATTTTGAGCTGTGTTTTAATCAGTCGTTTGATTTTGTGTTTTTAATGTATTATATATTTGGTGTTAGCTGCCCTGAGCCCGGCCTTGGCTGGGGACAGCAGGGTATAAATAAAATTTATTATTATTATTATTACCTTACTAGCCCTGTTGTTTCCAAGATTCAAATGGAAGCCAAGTTTATCCAACTTAGTTTTAGGTATTTCTTCTTCTTCTTCTTCTTCTTCTTCTTCTTCTTCTTCTTCTTCTTCTTCTTCTTCTTCTTCTTCTTCTTCTTCCTTTGTTCACATTAGTTTTGTGAGGGAGTGGGAGGTGTGATGGTGTGATGGTCATAAAGAACAGGAGGAAGAGGAAGGACATGAGGAGGAAGATGGGGACAGGGTAGGCCCAAGACAGTCTGGCATCTGAGGTGAACCACAAAGTACCTCTCTCCCTCCCACACACACCAGAGAAGAAGGGGGCAGTGGAGATTCCCATTAAGATCAAGGGAGGGTTAAAGATCTACATTGGGAACAAAGCAGTGAGTCAAATCAACCTTACCAGACAGCTGAAGTCTGGTTTGGGTGTGTGCCCTGAATCAAACCAGGCAAGTGCATAACCCAGGGGGCAACCCCTACCATTTCCTCACTAGAGGAGTAGAGAGACCAGCAATGCTTCCTATTTGCGGAGAAGCTGATATGGAGGCAGCATTGTGAGGCAGGAGGCTGCTGAGGAAGCAGCAGATCTGGCTTCCAAGGAGTGTACCACAGCCACCGCTGCCACTGTAGCAGCGGCCAAGGAATTCCTTGGAGGCTGAATCTGTCGCCCCTGAGGATCTGCATCTAAGGTGGTTGCTGCACTTTGCCTCACGGGTGGGCTGGCCTTTGGTGAGGAGGAAGAGGAGGCAGAATGGTAGAGGGGGGGAAATCGGCAGAAGGGATCGGCTTGATCCACTTTGTGGGGTGAGCAGCCCTTCACACATTTCTTAGTTCCAATTGCTCTTCTTGGTCACAGTCCAAAGCATGGCAGTGAATTTATGCTCACTTCATGCTGTTAGGGGATTGTGTCCATTGCATTTGGGCATACATCAAATGACCATGCTGCTGTTTCTTACGCAGGTGACAGCTGACCAGTGGAAAAAATTGATTCAGTGTGCAGTGCTAGAACCAGAGGTGAGAAAGCACCTTTTCTACAACTCCAGAGCATTTGCGATCTCAATTGCTGTGGTAAGCACCATATTGCTTCAGTGAGAGTTGGGGCATGTGGGTTTGCTAGGGTCTAAAATGACTATATATGTATTGCAGGTGTGGGGAACCAGAAGCCCATTGGTCAAATGTGGCCCTCTAGACCTCTCTTCTTGGCCCTCAGAATTCTCCTCAAGAATGTGCCCAGTAACTCCAATTATGCTTTTTGTTTGCATGGCTGGAGAAGGGGTGTGTGAGTGGGTGTAGCAATCAGACAACTGTTTGACGATAAAATTTGCATTCGTTGTTCTGCCCTCTTTAGCCTCTCTCCCCCACCCCCCACCCCACTTCTGGCACTTGGCTCCCAGAAGTTTGACCAGAAGCGAATGAGGCCCTTGGTTTGTAAAAAGTTGCTCACCTCTATTTTATTAGATAAATATTGTGTTTCTTCTTTCAGGTTTTCTACGTGACCCTCTGGATCAATCTTTTTTCCACCCTGCAGATATATTCTGTAGCACAATCCTGGGAAATCAGTATTTTGGCCACTGCAGTTGCCCTAGTGGCTGCCTTGATCGTCAGACTCACAATTCACCAACATCAAAGGAAGGTAGGACGAGTTGAGACATGTCTGCAGTTATGATTTCCATGATGACCAGCAGGTATTAGGGATTCATATTCAGATAATCACAAATTAAAAACAGAACCCAATGGAGCCTATTCAGTTCAACTTTCATTCACTGAAATAAATGTCATAAGCAATGCCTGAAAAGCAAGAGGAGGTTGGCTCACATCTTGCAAAGCAATTGCTTTAGAGGGTGCCTGCGCATTACAACCCCATTTGTTGCACCCACCTCATCACAGTCCTAGCTGGAATTGTTCCACTGTCAGCTCAACTCAGCTCAAATCTTCCCACCCTGAAGAGTTATAGCTCAGCAACAGAGAACCAAGTTTTTCATGAAGAAGCACCCCAGCATCGCCAGGTGCAGCTGGGAATACTCCCTGCCTGAAATCTTGGGAGAGCCACTGCCAGTCAACATGAACAATACTGAGCCAGATGGACTGATGGCCAGATGCAGTTATAAGGCTGTCTTATAACTGGGTCTGAACCATTGGTCCACCTGTTCCTATCTTTTAAGTGGGAGAGCTCTAACTCAGTGGTACAACATCTGCTTTGTATGCAGAAGGTCCCAGGTCCAATCCTTGGGCAGGGCTGGAAGGAAACTTAGGCGAGCCAGTGCCACGCAGTGTAGATGATACAAATCTAGATGGACCACTGACTCAGGAGAAGGCAGCTTCTTATAAAAGGTAAGGTAAAGGTACCCCTGCCCATACGGGCCAGTCGTGTCCGACTCTGGGGTTGTGCGCCCATCTCGCTTAAGAGGCCGGGGGCCAGCGCTGTCCGGAGACACTTTCAGGTCACGTGGCCAGCGTGACAAAGCTGCTCTGACGAGCCAGCACCAGCGCAGCACACGGAAATGCCGTTTACCTTCCCGCTATAAAGCGGTACCTATTTATCTACTTGCACTTAGGGTGCTTTCGAACTGCTAGGTGGGCAGGAGCTGGGACTGAACGATGGGAGCTCACCCCGCCGCGGGGATTTGAACCGCCGACCATACGATCGCAAGTCCTAGGCGCTGAGGTTTTACCCACAGCACCACCCGCGTCCCACAGCTTCCTATAAGGAGCCACAATTCAGTGGCAGAGCACCTGGCTGCATTCAGAAGGTCCCAGGTTTCACTCCAGTATCTCCAGGTAGGGATGGGAATGTCCCCTGTCCTGAAATCCTGAAGAGCTGATGCCAGTCAGTGTATACAATTCTGTACTAGATGGACCAATGGCTTGATGCAGCAGAAGGCAGCTTTCTATGTTCCCCTTTGAAAATTGTGGGGAATGACTCTTAAACCAGCTTGTTAAACTGCCTATGCCCATGAGACTGTGGTATGGCTTCCCTCTTGCCTCCACTGGGCATCCTGTGATTGAGACCTTTAATTCCCTTCCTTCTCCTTCTCATTTAACAGCTGAATGTAAGTACAGACATGAGACTAGCCGCTGCCAACGAAGCTTTCATGAAAAACAAATTCCTGGTGGGGTTCACAAATATGCCGGAGAAGCAATGTAGTGTTCCACAGGTATCCTTTTTCAGATTGAAAGAATGCCAAATCTCTGTATGTCAGGGAGAACTGAAGTTTCAGTTTTGTCACTTAAGAACTCACCCTATATTTACCTCTGAATATAGTGATATAATAAAATAAGGGTGGGGACCTTTGGCTGATGAAGGACCTCATTCTCTTCTGGGCAGCCTTCTGGAGACCACATGCTAGTGGTGGGCGAGACCAGGGGCATCCGTACAAATGTAAATGTTTTCCTTTACAAAGTAGGCTAGTTTCTGCACCTGCTCACCCACTCCGCTTTAACCTCAATCCAGGCAAGTCAAAGGCATTATCGGAGTTCAGATATGCATTCCAGCCAGGTGAACACTTGGGGTTGTATCCAATGTAGTGCTAAGTCTTTTTGGTGTCTTTGTTTGTTTTTGAGTCTAATAATCAGGTCCGTGTTTATTGAAGGCTTTTTTGTTAAAAAAAATTAAAGCAAAAGGATTACATGCTGTTAAACATTTAAAAAAGAAAAGATGAATCAGCTAACAAACTTTTCTTTCCGCTACGGGTCAGTACTGTTCAGACGGCACAGGAAAGGGAGAAGGGGGGGGGGAATCATGATCAAGAGCCAATGAAAAAACAACACCATCCCCAAACAGAGGGTTGGGGGAGAGATACAGGATAAAGAATACACATGCCCTAGCGACTGCAGCAGGAAAGTGTTCATGGATGCTTGTGGTCTTTGTGAGAGAGCCTGGAAAACTAGAATAAGGAAGAAAAAACTAGTGAACCAAATTGGCTACCAAGTGGCCATTTTTGCTCTGCATTTGAAAATATTTTTGCAGACCCTTTAAAGATGTTCCCCGGAAGTTGCCCAGTGAAAAGCAGATTGTTAGAAGATGTCACACGCAGGAAATGAATGGATCTTGGTTTTAAAATAGCCCCAAAAGATCCTTGGGCGAAAGCAACAATGGGAATTTAAATAACACCAGTGTTGCTCAGTTCAGTGCTAAAACAAATCATATCATAAAGGAAGACTGGCTGTAATCATGGTTATCTTGAAGGGTTGGAGAAGATTAAAAATCCTCTTTGGCCCCATCCCAAGGAAAACAGTGTTCCGTCTTAAAATAAAATAAAAGTTTGCTATGTACTTCTGCAGCTCTGGAGAGAGTCCAGAATTAGCAGGACCACCCCAACAAAATTGGGTTTAAACACACAGCCATTTATTCCTCCAGCCTGGATATGAGCACTTGTAAGTTGACACCCCAAGAATTGGGTTCAAGCCACAAAGGCAATAGAATCAGCTGGAAGAGAGGAACCCAGCCCTCCCACAGAATGCAAGAGAAAACGTTTGGTTATGCAGTCATCTCACTCTCTGCAAGCTCCTGAAGTCAGGAGGAGAAAAGGTTCTAGCAACTCGAAAGAAGACATGAGAGTTGGCTGTAAATATGAGGTGGGGTGAAAACAAAACTGTAGCTGAACACAGAAGCTTCACATCAAAGAAAAGGGCCTATCCAAACAGTGACAACCCATTTATGGGCCAGAGGAATCAGCAATCTGACTCACAGGCGTCCAAAAGGTCAGGCTGGGCTGAGAGCCATTTTTTAAAAAAAAAAATAAAAATGCAACGCTCAATTATGAAAGAGAAACCAAAACACCCCTAGAAATTAAGTAAGAGAATGGTTTTAACAGGAAGGTGGCCAGACCCCTGTGGCAGCTTCTGCCTGGCAGAACTGGCTCCTGCAGGCCAAAGGAAGGAGGTCTTGTGGGGCATTCAACATCTTGCTATCAGCAGCAAACTTCTTGGGTCAAACAATAGCAGGAGCCCCACTGATTCCCATGAACAACTCTTGCATTTCTCAGAAAGGCAGAGGAAGAAGTTCCCCATCGCATGTGCCTGATGACTGCATGAAGCTCAGGCTGACTTCAACACCACACTCTTCGATTCGGAGTTTCCTGGTACAGAAAAGCTTGTTCTGAGTGGGAAGGAATGCAGCAAACCAGAGTGGAGTGTGGTTTCCCACTGAAAAGTCCACTTTGGCTATGAAGGGGGAAGGAGGTGCAAATGATCCTGCATATCACAATACCCCCACCACAAATGGGTGGCTGTGAGAAACCAAGGTCCACAACAGACAGAATGTTTCAGTGTTAACTGGTTTGTGTCCGGTCACCAAGATGAAGTAGCCTTTTGCAGAAAAGCCGGGAGAGGCTGGGTGGCAAATCGTTATTGGCGAATTCCAGAGGGAGTTAAAGACACACAGCAGTACATTTGTTCCACTGGCAAAATGTTTTGTACCAGCAGAACATCATTGTGCAAGAGAATGTACCTATGTTGCCCAATAAAGGTAAAGGGACCGCTGACTGTTAGGTCCAGTTGCGGATGAGTCTGGGGTTGCAGCACTCATCTCACTTTACTGGTCAAGGGAGCCGGCGTACAGCTTCCGGATCATGTGGCCAGCATGACTATGCCACTTCTGGTGAATCAGAGCAGCGCACGGAAACGCCTTTTACCTTCCTGCTGGAGTGGTACCTATTTATCTACTTGCACTTTGATGTGCTTTCAAATTGCTAGGTTGGCAGGAGCAGGGACTGAGCAACGGGAGCTCACCCCATCGTGGGGATTCGAACCGCCTACCTTCTGATCGGCAAGCCCTAGGCTCTGTGGTTTAACCCACAGCGCCACCCACGTCCAATAGATTGCCCAATAGATGACACAATTTATTGCACATTGTTTTTCCACTATTCTAACTGTCATGTTGGATCCCTCTGTTGCACAGCATTACAGTCTCACCCAACTGCTGGCGCAGGAGCCCTTGTGCTAGTAGACAGAGAACACTGGATACAGCCCTCATGGAGCAAAGCAGGGCCAATGAGGTGTGGCCTGGAGAAAGTTCAAAAGGAAAGATAGAGAGGCCTGGAGAGTCACATTCATTCTGGGGCCTGAGGCTTCTCTCCAGCTATAGCTTAACATCATACATTCTTTACTTGCCATGATATATCCAGTACCATAATTTGTCCATAGGTGGTGGTATTAGTACAGATTACTACATAAGAGTAAAACAATTAAAACAATCTGAGCTCCTTCTTACAAATGGGTGTGAATAAGTAGGCAACATCAATCCTTTTCTGCAGTAAGCAATATAGAGAGTTGCATAGAATTTCAACATTTACCATAATTTGTGTATGGCTGGACTGTTTTCCTTGACTTCCCCCATCAGCTCTGGTTTGTTCATTTTGACGTGGGGCCATGCCTTCAATTCTTAGCAGACTCTCTGGCAGAAATTAAGAGGAATGAGAAGGTGAGTGATGATTGGAGGGTTTTTGTTTTGTTTTAAGGTAGAAGGTTTCCAAGGAAGCCATGCTGCCGAAACTTTAGTGGCATAGCTGAAAAAAAAACAAAACATTGGGGACAACAAACAAAACAAATAAAATAATTTGAGCTCCATCTTCCAAATGGGTGTGAATAAGCAAACAGCCATCATCCTCTTTCTCAAGTCAACCATACAGAGAATTGCCTGCAATTATATCAGGCACAGAAATATTCTTCAGAATTACCAGAATCCAGCTGATGGATGTTATCATGTTTTAAACAACCACCACCACCACCAAAGTAAGACACTGACTCATTGCTCTTAAAACTAGGTTGTGGGTTATAACAAATTAGACATACAGAATTCAGTCAATGGAGTCTGTTTAGTCATTTAACTATTTGGGACAGGTGTCTATCATTTTCATTAAAGATGTCATTCTAAAGTTAGTTAGCTAGTCACTTTTTCAAAAAAGAAATTCAGTATTTTTGCAGAGTTTTTGAAATAACATCACTGCTGGATCACACTGAAGAATCTTGTTTAGTAAGACTGTGTACAACCCCTCAGTCTCCAACCCCCCCCCCCCCCAGGATCTGGGGACCCAATCCAGGCAGATGTGGAGATCACTTAGCCTGGATCTGGACCTGAATCAATTCAGGGAACAAGGCTGAAACCCAAGTAAACATAAAGGCACAAGGGCCACTAGTGGCACTTCAATAAAGATTCAAAGTTGTATCCAATGTTAGTCCTGCACAGGGTAGACCGATTCATAGGTGCCGAGTTCTGCCCAGCATTGAGAGGGTGGGCTTGTTGCATGTATGTGACGTCACATGTGATGTCACACACATCAGGAGGAGGCCTGATGCCCTTCGCGGCTGTGGGGAGGCCTGACAAGGCCCGACTCCTCAAGGTGGGGGGGGGGGGCCTGGCATGTCCCCACATACTTTGGGGTGGGGCATAGAGTTGGTGCCTATGGACCCATTGAAATTGTTGGACATGACTTGGTTCTCTTAATTTTTATGTGTCTACTCTGAGTGGATGCTGTCATCCTTAACAACACTCATATTCATTTGTGTGATTATGGCCATATTCACGCCATCCATTTAAAGCACTATGATACCACCTTAAGCAGTCATAGCTTCTGGGAGCCTGTAGTTTGCTAAGGGTACTGAGAATTGTTAATTTATCCCTTCCAGAGCTACAATTCTCAGAATGGTTTAACCATCAATCCCTCCTCACAGGTAACTCCTGAATATTGTAGCTTTCTGAAGTACCCTTAACAAATTAGAGTTCCAATAATCCTTTATGGGAAGCCTCAACTGTTGAAAGTGGTAGCATAGTGCTTTATGGATGGTACGAATGTGGCCTATGTTGCTACTGAATTGTATCCAACAAATTCCTAGCGAAAGCAGAATGGTTTCTGCTCACAAAACAGAACTTCTGTTCCCTCTTCTGTCTCTGCATGCCCTCAGTGCCACCGGGACCTTCAGAGTCAGAGCAATTTTGTGTGTCAGGACTCACATGGAGAGAGGAGACAGAAGAGGAAGGGGAAATTCCATTTTTGGAATGGAAGATAAAACCATAGAATTGTAGAGTTGAAAGGGACCCAAAGGGATTCAGCTGATCATTGTTGTTAGGTGATTGCTGCAGAATGTGCTTTTCTGGGTGATGCAGAATAATATCACTGTCCTGCAAATCTGCTCCTCCCGGCTCCTTTTCAGTCTGCTCTGAAGCACAACCTGAAAGAACTCTGCATTGTAATAGAGACTCCCATCCTTCCAAGTCAGGAAAAAGGCCTGGGAATTTCTTCAGAAGATTCTGAACTGCTGCCCGAGAGAAAGGACAGCACCCAAAGTGCCTTGGCATACCGAGAGTTCCTCCAGCTTGTCCCAGATGGAGCACCTGAGGTAAGAATTCATTGAAGGTGTCTGTAAAAAGGTTTGGTGTTGGGGGAGAACCGAGGTGGATCTTCACCAGCCTCTGTACTCAGCCAGCCCATACCTGCCTGATTTCTTACTTATAAACTGTCCAGAAGGTGGCACTGCCTGTTAGTTTCTTTCTCCTCCTTAGTCTCAAGGCTGGCCTCCTAGACCTCAGCAGGGAGGAGGATGGAGGCAAAACTAGAACCTAGTCCCTTTATCAGTCATTGGCTCCAGCACCACCCTACTTCTGTATTCTATACCTATTGTCCTACCAGTCCCAAGGGGGCACCAGGCACTACTGCTCATTTATAAATGTTTAAGAAATATTTAAAATAAAATGTAGGGCCAATGATATATTATTATGCCTTTTAAATGATGTGGATAAGCAAGGGATATTCAATGAATATTTGAATTCTTAAAGGAATTTTTAAATATATATATATTTTTAAAAAATTCAGGAACTTTTCAAGAAACTTTTAGGACACACCTTTTGGTTATTTTAAGTTGTTTTAGACTTTGTGTTTCAGGCCCACCCTTGGACCTCACAGTGAGGAGTAGGTAATAAACAACAGTAATAACTAGGGTACTGTGTATATTAACACTAGCAAGTGTAATGCACATGAAAGTTTGGAAAGGTAGATGTAAACCTAATAAGAATTAATGATGTAAATGATGGGAGGTGCTGGAAATGTTTAAGTTGTCAATAATGTTAAATGAAATGGGATTAAAAAGCTGTTGGAGGCTAGTTGTGCAATATAGAAGCAAAGAGCTCAGAATATCTGGGTTTGGAGAAGGGAAAGGGCCACAGGTGAGTGGTAGAGCACCTGCTTTGTGTATGGAAGGTCTCAGGTTCAACCTCCAGCACTGGGAAAGACTCCAGTCTGAAATTTTGGGGAGAGATGGTTTATTATGACATAAGCCAGGGTTGGGGATAGGCCAATCTTGCTGATGCCATTCCATTGGTGGGAGGGGTTTGATTCTGAATTGGCTGCATGCATCAGTTACTCTATTGGGAACTGGTACACATAGCCAAAGCAGCAGGGTTTAATCTCCTCTCACCAGCTGATGAGTAGGAATTAAATCCTGCACCATTGGGCTGTTCATGCCTCTTCCCCTACTGGAAACAGCCATGTGCAGTCAAAGCTCAATGTTGGGCTGTTTGAAAGCCCTTTTGCAAAGAGCCCTATGCTGTTCAAAGAGCAACAAAGTTCTGGTTGCAAAAGAGCTTTCAAACAATTCCACACTGAGACCCCATAGTCAGGGCTTCAGAGTTCAGTATAACCTGGTACCATATTGATGTCAGATGACTGACAGGTAGATGGCCTCTGGGTTGGGGATATAAGGATTTGACTTGCTGGTCAGAAAATGTTCTCCACTTCTAGCACAAACTTTCAGGGACAGCACATGAAGTGCTATTTGAGCTACAGATTGGTGTAGGCATCACTGGGCTAGATGGACAACTGGTCTGACTTGGTATAACAGCTGCTTCCTATGTTCTTACATCATCAATAAATGTTGATGCTTGACTGATTTTAGGTGATGGCCCATCAGCTATTGGCAATCTTCAGTGGCTGCTACATCAGACTTCTGGTCAGTGGTCAGCTCACAGAGGTCGCTGCAAGACGACATGTATCACTCAACCACACCCCATGCCTGTGCCAATTCGTCGAGATGACAGTGCTGGCAAAGAGATCCTCTTGGTTCAAGCTGAGGTGACCAGTGGTGGATGATGTAGCCCTTTGCATTATGCACAGTATTAACCAGAATGGAGACCTAGAACTTGCAAACTGGGGGAATTATTTCACATGGTTGTCTGAATTGGCCACAGTGACACACACCTTAGTTATGCACTATTTGCATTGCTGTAACATGCTCTACATAGGATTGCCTTTGAAAAGTGCTCAAAAACTTCAGCTGGCTCAAAGAGCTGCCAGATTGCTGTCCCGGGCTGGTTATATGACCTATATGGATTAGGTCCAAGCTATCTGAAACACCACATTCCCTCATAAGAACCTGCCCAGGTTTCGAGAGCTTCAAGGGAGATCTTTCTCTTGGTCCCACCATCCTGACAGGCATACTTGGTGGGGATGTAGGAGAGGACCTTCTTGCTAGCTGCTGCCAGACTCTGAAACTCCCTCTCCAGAGAAGCCAGGCTGGTTCCCTCGTGGTGTTTCTGCTGACAGGTAAAGTCTTGTTCCAATAGGCTTTGGGAAGGTGACTGCTTTTAATGAAAGGGCTGGTGCTGTGCTGTTTTTCATTCAAGCTATTTTTTATTGTAAAGGTAAAGGTACAGGGACCTCTGACCGTTAGGTCCAGTCGCGGACGACTCTGGGGTTGTGCGCTTATCTTGCTCTATATGCTGAGGGAGCCAGCATTTGTCCGCAGACAGCTTCCGGGTCATGTGGCCAGCATGACTAAGCCGCTTCTGGCGAACCAGAGCAGCACAGGGAAACGCCGTTTATCTTCCCACCAGAGTGGTACCTATTTATCTATTTGCACTGGTGTGCTTTCGAACTGCTAGGTTGGCAGGAGCTGGGACTAAACAATGGGGGCTCACCCCGTCGCAGGGATTTGAACCACCGGCCTTCTGATTGGCAAGCCCTAGGTTCTGTGGTTTAGACCATATAGTTTTAATTATATTTTATTTTATAAAATGTAATTTTAATGATTGGTTTTTCTGTGATTTTAGCTGTGTTTATTTTTTATCAGTAAGCCTCCTTGAGTACCTGCCAGGCAAAGAGGTGGGGTACAAATATAAAAGTAGCCACCACCATTGTTCTCCATATGCAACAAGTGTCCAGCAGTAATTTTCTGGATGCATTTTTGTCATCTCCCTTAAGGAGCTACTGTGAAATGAAATGAGATCAATGGCCTGCCTAGCACAGTACTGGCAAAATTTCTCCAACCTCCTGTGCAGACATCCAACAAGCCATGTCAATAAGAGATGATCACAAATCGCTTGTGCGATTTTGCAATATTTTGCTTTCCATGGCTCCTGTTGGGTAACAATAGTGGAAGATATTTCCCACAGGACATTCCGTTGCAAAGAAGGAGCTTGTCTTTTCTGTTGCTGCAGCAAGCCAGGCAGGAAATGAATGATGTGTGCAGGTGCAAAAGAGCAAACTGCTGCAGGGTGGCTTAGGGTGGCCGATGAGAGATGCCCCCCGCCCCCTCACATAGCGGCATAGCTTCAGAGAGAGGCAAAAGCAGGATAAAGGGACAATAATATTTTTACCCTCCCTCCTTTGCTCTTTCTGTGTGAGATAGTTGCTTGGGATCCCCACCTTCCTGCAACACACACCTAACGGTTTCCTCTCCTTGGAGACAGGGGTGACATCTACTGCTGGTGATTTTTATGACTGGCTAAGCAGAGAAGATACAGTGGTACCTCATGTTACGGACGCTTCAGGTTACAGACACCACTAACCCAGAAACAGTACCTCAGGTTAGGAACTTTGCTTCAGGATGAGAACAGAAATCGTGCTCCGGCGGTGCAGTGGCAGCGGGAGGCCCCATTAGCTAAAGTGGTACCTCAGGTTAAGAACAGTTTCAGGTTAAGAACGGATGTCCGGAACGATTTAAGTTCTTAACCCGAGGTACCACTGTATACAGAAGTCTCTCAGTCATTGGAAATGCAGTGATGTTGTTGTGTGCAACAGAAAGAAGACTGCACCATAGCCTGGGAAGGTTTTTTGGGTTCAGAACCTTGGCAGGGCTATGCCCTACTTTGCCCAGAAGAGCAGCCTCCCTGGTTTCAGCATTATTTCACTTTCCTGGGCCCCTTTTGACAATATAGGGCAAGATATTTCCCATGGGGCATTCCGTTGCGTTTTGGTTTTTTCACTTGCAAAGACCCTGACTCTTGAGATTCTTCAAGCAGAAATATCAGGGGTTCATGAACCCATGACTGTCATTCCTGGAAGCATGAGCTCTTATCCATGAGCTATCGGTATATCATAAACACTTCCCACACACAGAGTTGAAAGTGTGGGCTGAAGTGGACTTTACAAGTTTTCCAGACCACCCTGTGATATTTGCTGTAATAGTCATGCTATACACTTGTCATGCAAAGTAATTGCAGGCTATTTCACCGTACTGCATTTGTGCTTTTGCAGTGCAACTCATAATTTTTGATGGGGAAAATAAAAAACCATCAAAGACTAATAACAATATAACATAGTTTTAATGAGTACAATTTCCTTTTCATTTCACTTCCAATTAAATCATTTTATAATTTTATAACCATCTACGGGCATCACAGGCAGAGGGTTTTCAGACACATTCATCTCCGCTGAAAGAGGAGTTTGTGAATCTGTCTTCATTATGGTCTGTGATGATGCAAGAGGGTGTGGACTTGCTGACATCATAGTTGCTTGAGGGGAAGCAGTGCAGGATCTTGTCCCAGGGAAGATGCTCCTTGTAGGCTTTTAGCGTCATCTTCTAATAGGCTGACTTTGGACGGGAAGGGTACATGTTGCTGGTGGCTCAGCTCTTCCAGATGAGGCGTGTCATGTAGTTACTTGTACAAAGGGAGGGAAAATTAGAAGCAATTAGTAGCCAGTTTGTGCTGAATTTGGGATTCGGCTGAATCCCATGGTTCAGCTGCCTTGGAAGCCTCCCCCACTTTGTTCAAGTATTATGAACTATTGAGGGGGGGGGGACATTCTCCCTATCCACTTTCTCCACATAATCTCATACACTTCTAACACTCTCCTCCTCTTTTCACCTTTTTTTCTAAATGGAAAAATACAAAAACATTGCAAACTTCCTTCTCACTGGGAGAACCTCCAGCCTGGGAGCCAAATGCAGACCTCCAGGCCTCTCTAGCTGGCCCTTGCAACTCTTCTCAGGCAGCACCCCCTCCCCCAGTCCCCCCCTCACCTGCTTTCCACTGTCCCTGGGGATTTTTCACTGGCTGGGATACAGTCACTGAACTCTGATATCACCTCTTGCTCTCCTGGAGCAACAGTTGTCCAGAAGAGAATGTGGCCCTCAGCCTGAAATTGATTGCCCACCTCTGCTCTAGCCCTTTGTTTTCTTGGGGTGGGGGTGGGGGGGTGGTTTTCCCTTTTATGCACATTTTCCACCTCTGCTACACATCTTTTCTATGAGTCCCTTTGGAGAATGGCTATTTTTGTCATGCTTCCTGAAAGCATCTGATCGGCTTCTGCTTTGGAGTCATGCTGCTGGACCCGAAGGACCTTTGGTCTGGTCCAGTAGGGTTCTTCTTAACTAGATGCCCACAGCTGCAGGGACTGGAAACTTATGGCCCTCCAGATGTTAAGATTCCAACCCCCACCAGCTCCTGCCAATGACCAAGAGTTGTGAACAACACCTGGTTCCCCATCTCTGCCACAGAGAGTCTCCAGTTCCCCCTTACCTGGTTTCTCATTTGGCTCCTGCTGTTGCTCCTCTTTGCTCCGACAGCAGCAGCAGCATTCCCTAATTTTAGCTGCCACATAGCTGCAGGCTGTAGACCATGGAAATAAAAGGAAAGTCAAATGGAAATCTCTGCATGCAGTCCACATAACTCAGCTTTCAATTTTTGAAAATGGGGGTTTGCAACAAGAGAAGAGTTGGGTGAAAAGAAGATGTAGAGAAGGGGCTGTTGTAGTGCTGGGATAACAATATATGCCCTCTAGTTTATCTTCTGCTTTGCAAAGTGCTCCTTGTGAACTATTTGTATGACATGATCGAGTGACTGTATTGATTACTGTGAATGGATCCATTCATAATGATTAAGATGTGACATAGCTTAACTCATGAGAATAAAATAAGCTTGACAACTCTTAATGGCTGGAATGTTCTATGTAGTCTTTGGAACGAATGTCACACCCATCAAAGTTTGGAGAAAGTGCTCAGCAAAATTTTTGATTTAAGCAGAGTCTGACAGCTGGAGGGTTTGTTTTGTTTAAGATAGAATTAACTAAAAGTGGGAGTGGGGCTGCTACTGTTGCTTCTTGGGAAGAAGATGCAGGATTGACAGTTGTGCTATTTGCTTTAGAACTCTGATTGCTTTCAATATCTTCAGATAGATATCTTCAATATCTTTGTAGAGAACAAAATGCAACAACAAAATATGTACAAGAGGAAAAAATCACTATAAATTTCTTGCATACCAGTTCAACTTGAGGAAACAGTCTCTGTAAACTGATGCACTCTGTATAGGACTTCCTACTGCCAAAAAAAAAAACTTGTATGACTCAGTCTTTCCACATCTCTTGTTTTTATTAGCAATATGTTCCTGGTCAGCCACATCTAGATAGTTTACAAAGCCAGACTTCCGGTGCTAATCACCATGGTGAACAGCCGGTCCCAAGATAGCGGACACTGGCCATGCAGCCAATTAAGGATAATGTGAGAGTAATTGTCCTTGCAAGGCGGGGGTTGGGGGGGAGCTTTCACTCGCAGTTCATCTGATACCTGCTTCTCACTCCAATGGAATGTGGGGGGCAGGGACACTGAGTGTATAGCACTGCATGTATCGGAAACTCTGCAACACAGCCACCATGAGCGGAAGCCCCCTGTTTTTTAAGATGTATCAGAATTTGGACTTAAGAAACAAGCATGTTCTGAATGAAGGAGACAAGATAACCTGCTAAATGAACCAGCCACTGAGTGCAAAGGTCTCGATCCGGAGAAGATTTTCATCGTTATTGGATTGGTATGTTGGTAGAGAGGAGCCTTTGTTCTCTCTTTATATATTCAATATGCCATTTTATGTTTTGGCAACTCTTCACCAAAGAAAAATTAGCTACTTATGGAATGTCATTAATAATGGATTGCAAATATTAATGGAATGCAAGAGGGAATTAACAAGAACTTTATAATGCTTATGGATTAATTCAAAGAACAGAACTATGTGGAAACCTTGGGATGTTTGGCGGCAATAGTCCACCAAACTCTAAGGAGGACTCTAACTTTGATTTATTATGGTGTTGGTGAGATATCAGCTTGTGATCGGGCGGGAAAGAAATCAAAGAAAATGCTGGAAGTCTGCCTGGAGCGGGGGTCGGCAACCTGCGGCTCCAGAGCCGCATGCGGCTCTTTAAAGCCTTTGCTGCGGCTCCGGGGCGGTGGCGAGGGGAGGAGGCGAGGGGCGGAGGCGAGGGGCGGAGGTGACCAGCCTGCCGCCCGGCGGGCGGGGCGCCGTAAAGCAGAGCGCCCCCCTCGCCAGGCAGACATCCGCAGCGTGGGGAGCCTTGCCGGACTTCCCGGCAAGGCTCCCGACGCTGCGGATAGCAGCCTGCCGCCCGGTGGGCGGGGCGCCCTAAAGCAGAGCGCCCCCCTCGCCAGGCAGACATCCGCAGCGTGGGGAGCCTTGCCGGAGGTCCCGGCAAGGCTCCCCACGCTGCGGATAGCAGCCTGCCGCCCGGCGGGCGGGGCGCCGTAAAGAAGAGCGCCCCCCTCGCCAGGCAGACATCCGCAGCGTGGGGAGCCTTGCCGGAGGTCCCGGCAAGGCTCCCCACGCTGCGGATAGCAGCCTGCCGCCCGGCGGGCGGGGCGCCGTAAAGAAGAGCGCCCCCCTCGCCAGGCAGACATCCGCAGCGTGGGGAGCCTTGCCGGAGGTCCCGGCAACGCTTCCCACGCTGCGGATAGCAGCCTGCTGCCCGGCGGGTGGGGCGCCCTAAAGCAGAGCGCCCCCCTCGCCAGGCAGACATCCGCAGCGTGGGGAGCCTTGCCGGAGGTCCCGGCAAGGCTTCCCACCCTGCGGATAGCAGCCTGCTGCCCGGCGGGCGGGGCGCCCTAAAGCAGAGCGCCCCCCTTGCCAGGCAGACATCCGCAGCGTGGGGAGCCTTGCCGGACTTCCCGGCAAGGCTCCCCACGCTGCGGATAGCAGCCTGCCGCCCCGCAGGCATCGGCCAGCCCCACAAGCTCGGGGGACAGCAGGGAGGCGAAGCGCCGCCATCCCGCTGTTCCTCGACCTGGTTCAGTTTCCCCGACCTGCTTTTGGGGGGGAAATAAAGGGAAATTTTTTCCCCTTTATTTTCCCCCCAAAAAACTAGGTGCGTCCTATGGGACGGAGCGTCCTATGGGGCGAAAAATACGGTATTTTTATAATGACGAATGCCTCATTATTAATTATTATTTACATCAGGCACTGATTATGATTTATGGTACACTGGGGCCCTGATTAATTTTCTATGGCATTTTGGGGCATTGATTATTGGGCATAGCAAGTCGCGGTCGCGTGGAATTTGTGCTTTGTGACCGTTTGAAGTGGGGTTTTTTTCTTGGGAGGCTGGGCGGCACGAAGAGAGGGATTATTTTTATAATGATGAGGATGACATTGGGCCCTCATTATTAATTATTATTTACATCAGGCACTGATTATGATTTATGGTTCACTGGGGCCCTGGTTAATTTTCTTTGGCATTTTGTGGCATTGATTATGCAGTCACGGTCGCGTGGAATTCCACGTGGAGTTAGTTGCCTGAAGCCCCTTTTTAGTTGCTTGAAGCCCCTTTTTAAACTTAAGCAGGTGAAAGTTTGGTGAATTGCTGCCAAGGAGTGTGGTGGAGTCTCCTTATTTGGAGGTCTTTAAGCAGAGGCTTGACAACCATATGTCAGGAGTGCTCTGATGGTGTTTCCTGCTTGGCAGGGGGTTGGACTCGATGGCCCTTGTGGTCTCTTCCACATATGTATGTGAGCAGGTCTTCTCCAACATGAACTATATTAAAAACAAGCACCGATCACGCCTCACAGATGACAGCTTGCAAGCCTGTGTGAAAATGAAGGTGATGTCTTACAGCCCTGATGTGCAGACACTGAGCACTGAGGTTCAGGAGCAAAAGTCCCATTAACCTGGTTACCTGGTTGTAAATTAAATATTTTAATTAGCTATTAATTTGTCCTTTTTTCTTGAGATTGACAGCTGACTGCACGATCCTGTATATATAGCATTAAGGCCAGAAACAATATATGTAGTGTTATATTTGTTTTAAATGTTGCAATGTTTTTGCGGCTCCCAGTTGTTGTTGTTTTTTTCGGAAACGGGTCCAAGTGGCTCTTTTTGTCTTAAAGGTTGCAGACCCCTGGCCTGGAGTAATGGCCAGACACCAGACCTCTTTGGTTTTGAGAAACGCAAGATGGCGAGAGGCCTTTACGCAGCAAAATCAGTCCTTGGAGGGGGGGGTGTGTGTGTGCCAAAAATGATTGAGTACAGCAAGAAAGGAAGGACGAACATTAAAATAAAAAGCATTCCACACAAAAGTTACAAGACTTAAACTCCTCTTGCAAAATAAAGGCTATGGAATAAATACGAATGAAAGTCATCACATCAGTGTTTGTTAAAACAAAGGATCAACATTGGAATTGTATTGTTTGGATTAAATAAGAGGATTGGAGTAGGCACAAGGAATAACAGCATCTGCCAAAAATCAGAACATGGGAAGTCATCCAAAATGTTTAATTTGGAATCGGATAATTGTCTCTTTTAATTGTATTATGATTTGGTATTGTATTAATGTGGTTTATATTGGATTCTTATTAATGAAAAATTAATAAAAAATAGATAGTTTACAAGGCCACACCTAAATAACACTTGCGGTTGTGATGATGGGATGCTCCGTCATTCCATTTCCTTAGGGTTCAGTGAGTTCACTCTGCTCAGCATTCCAGGCTTGCTGAAATCATTTTTAACAGTGGTTGGTGGGGCTGTAGAGACAAGGCAGCACTATTCGCCTGGCTGCCCAACAGCAAGTGTCACTTCCAGTTACTGAGAGGTAGAGGGAGTGAGGTGCGGGGAGCTCAGCAACGCGCAAGCATGACAGCACCCCCAGTTCAATGCTCTTGACTCTCATCCCACTAGGTAACCAGCAGCAACACCTGGCATTGGAAAGTCAGGCACCCTGATTGTGCCACCTGCTCCTAAAGGTAAAGTAAAGGTACCCCTGCCCGTACGGGCCAGTCTTGCCAGACTCCAGGGTTGTGCGCTCATCTCACTCTATAGGCCGGGAGCCAGCGCTGTCCGGAGACATTTCAGGGTCACGTGGCCAGCGTGACAAGCTGCATCTGGCGAGCCAGCGCAGCACACGGAACGCTGTTTACCTTCCCGCTGGTAAGCATCCCTATTTATCTACTTGCACCCGAAGGTGCTTTCAAACTGCTAGGTTGGCAGGCGCTGGGACTGAACGACAGGAGCGCACCCCGCCGCGGGATTCGAAACGCCGACCTTTTGATCGGAAAGTCCTAGGCGCCGAGGCTTTAACCCACAGCGCCACCCTCGTCCCTGCCACCTGCTCCTACCTTTAAACAAATAATAATTCCAGAATTGGAGCGTGTGCATTCTGCAGCAATTTTCACTTCACACGCTCTACACATAAATGCTGCAAATGAGCAAAGACATGGCTGCAGGTACAAAGTCCTATGAGGAATTGTTGAAAGAGTTGAGTAGGTTTATCATGGAGAAGAGACAGTTAAGAGGAGACATGGGGAGAGCTGTCTTCAAATATCTAAAGGACTGTCGGTCACACAAAAGATGGAGCAGGTTGGGGACACATCCGCACCATATACTTAAAGTGCTCTTAGACCACTTCAATAGGCATGGTTTTCCACAAAGAATCCTGGGAACTGTAGTTTGTTAAGGGTCTCCTAACAATGCCCAGAATGTTTAACAACTATAGTCCCCAGAATTATTTGGGTGGGGGGAGTCATGGCTATTAATGTAGTATTAGGAGTATATGAGAGGAATGTATGCATTAGGAAAAACTGCGTATAAGCATGTGTGTATTCACACCCAAATGGTGATTTTTTAATGCTCAAATGGTGATGAATTTGCATGTGGATTTAAATAATGGAATCATTGAGGTGGAAGGGACCACAAGGGCCATCTAGTCTAACCCACTGCAATGCAGGAATCTTATGCCCAATATGGGGCTTGAACCCATGGCCCTGAAATTTAAGAGTGTCATGTGCTACCAGCTGAGCTATGCCAGTGGCAAACTGATGTGGAAATGTGGAGAACTCAACTTACGATTTGAAAAAATGAGGAACTGAGAGAAACAGAAAATAACAGATTTCCCCATCCCTAATGACAGGACACATGCCTTGCTTACAACAGATGCCCCCTTCTATCCCTGCCATCTCCAGCTAAAACATAGATGAGGTAGCAAATGAAAGGAAAGACCTCTCTCTGCCTGAGATCTGGGAGAACCATTGTCAGTAGGGGTAGATAATTGGCTTTCAGCTGGATTTCCAAGATTTCCAAGGTTATAGCCTGATCTAAGGGTCTCTCAGCAGCACCACAACCACCATTCAAATGCATAGTGAAGAAAAAGAAAAAGGGAAAGGGAAAAGCTCTATTGATCAATATTAGATTTCAAACCATTTTGTTAATAAGTGTGGTAATGGGCCTAAGAAACGGGGGGGGGGGCGACGTCAGAGGGATCTTTGCACCATGGCCCTGGATATGCTTAAGATGGCCCTGCCTAGCAGTTGGTATTAGAGCAGAGTCTGGCATTATGCCTGTACAATTTTGTATTTTTATGGTTTTACTTATGTACCATTTTAATCTTTTTAATATTCAAAGCTTTAGAATTCCTAAAAAAAATTAAAAAAAAATTATGCAACAGCTACAATCACATAAGGCGACTACCCGGGTAGCAAATTGTGAACAACAAATTTTAGCTTTTTATATAATTCTCCAGCTTCTTAAAAAGTGGACCCTAGATTAGACTCGAAGAGAGAAAGTTTGAGGGGATTTCCATTCCCTAGAAGCTCTACAGGCAAATCCAGAAATCATTGTTCTCTCCAGTTACATTTTCTTAAATCAACATATATAATGGAGAATTATATAACAGTTCATTTAGAAAAGTATTTCTGGCTTTGCATTTCAAGACTGTGTCTTCACAATATTTAGAGGGACTATAGCAAAATATGTATGGAAGTGAGAGCTGGACCATAAAGAAGGCTGATCACCAAAGAATTGATGCTTTTGAATTATGGTGCTGGAGGAGACTCTTGAAGATCCCATGGACTGCAAGAAGATCAAACCTCTCCATTCTGAAGGAAATCAGCCCTGAGTGCTCACGGGAAAGACTGATCCTGAAGCTGAGGCTCCAATACTTTGGCCACCTCATGAGAAGAGAAGACTCCCTGGAAAAGACCCTGATGTTGGGAAAGATGGAGGGCACAAGGAGAAGGGGGTGACAGAGGACGAGATGGTTGGACAGTGTTCTTGAAGATATGAACAAGAGTTTGACCAAACTGCGGGAGGCAGTGGAAGACAGGAGTGCCTGACGTGCTCTGGTCCATGGGGTCATGAAGAGTCGGACACGACTAAACGAGTAAACAACAACAAATAGCAAAATACTGGTAGAACAGTGTTTTACATATGTGATGCTGCAGCAGTAGAATATCTTTATCATTATTTACTGTACTGCTCTTTGTATTCTGAACCAAAGGCAAAATTTATTCTGAATTTTTTATGTAAGATACCTGATGGTGATGATCTAGTGAAAATCATATATTTGCTATCTGATTCTGACAAATTTCTGAATGGATGGCTTAATAGGTGGTCTAATGTATCAGGTTTTTAACCTTTGGTGTTTCACTTTATTTTACCTTTTTATATTTTTTTGGTATATTTTAATGTAAATATATATTTTGGTCAATGTTGGTTTTTTTAAAAATATTGCATGAGTGTATATATTTTTTCTGTGGTTGATTTGACCATGATGTTTGAACCAACAACAAGAAGCAATAAACCAGGAAAAAAATGAAGTAGGTCCTCAGAAACATGTTTGGGTTAAAAGTAAATATCAGGTTGGAATGCGTTGAAGGCAGTAGACTACAGAACCTAAGGAAGGATATAAGTTCTTCCCAGAGTGCTCCTGAACTCAGTCTGGAAGTAGTTCAAGGAAACTGGCCACTGGTTTTTAGTTTGGATTAAAACTCTTCACTCTGACAGAGAACTGGTGCCTTGAAGCAGCTGTGTGACCCAGCAAACACACATCCCACCCTTCTCCCTTTGCCAGGGGAAAGATTAAAAATAGATCTACGGGGACAAAAACCGCAGCTGAAACACCAGCTCCTCTTTCCCTTTGATCATGTACTGAAAAAGCTCTTAAGTCATCTGGGCTTTAGATAAAGCTGTTCTTCACTTACCGTGGGCAATAACTCAGGCCATGTTTCCTGTGGGTGCAGATGGGTGCACTCTCTCTCTCTCGCTCTCTCTCTCTCTCTGCAGTCAACAGGTTTACAGCAAGAAAGCTGTTGCCACTTATTTCCTCCTTCTGGTAACACATTACATTGGTTCCTCACCAGAAGGCGTTGCCCCAGTAACCTAGTCACATGTGGGTGACAGTTAGCAGGGTAGGTGTTTTGTGACTCATACAGTTGCTCTGTTTGCTTCACTTTAGGGTAAGGAGGAGAGGGGATCTGGTTTTGTCTGTGAAGCTTTCCTGTGTGAGGGTTGAGGGAGTCAGCTGGTGGGGGACTTACCCAAAGAACCAGCATCTGTCCTAACACAATTGGTGGAAACACTTTGAAAATCCAATCTTACCTGTGCAACCTGTTTATTCAGTGCTAAGTCCTATTCCCCCCCAGTGCAGAAATGTGTTAGGCAGCTGCAGCCTTTGACAGATTTCACACATGGTTTAAAGCTAGTTTGAGCTTCTCTCTCCTTTTGGGGACTTTATTTTATTATAATTTTTTTATTAAGAAATTATATATATATATATATATATATATATATATATATATATATATATATTTGCTTTCGTAGATTTTCACGGGTACAGGAATGCAGGTTTTGGTGTCCTCGGGTGTCTTCCCGTGTAAAAGTTGGGGTGTCTAGGCGACGTTTCGACGAGGTCTCACTCGTCATCTTCAGGCTGGTGCTTTCGGCTTCTGTAACAAGAAGCCGAAAGCACCAGCCTGAAGATGACGAGTGAGACCTCGTCGAAACGTCGCCTAGACACCCCAACTTTTACACGGGAAGACACCCGAGGACACCAAAACCTGCATATATATATATATATATACACACACACACACACACACACACACACACACACACGCTTCAGGTTACATATGCTTCAGGTTACACACTCCGCTAACCCAGAAATAGTGCTTCAGGTTAAGAACTTTGCTTCAGGATAAGAACAGAAATCGGGTTCCAGCGGCGCGGCGGCAGCAGGAGGCCCCATTAGCTAAAGTGGTGCTTCAGGTTAAGCACAGTTTCAGGTTAAGAACGGACCTCCGGAACGATTTAAGTACCTAACCCGAGGTACCACTGTATATAGAAACAAACAGGAAGCAATAGTACAAGGCTGAGTAAATCAAGAGAGGTAAGCACAGAAACCTGTCAAAATATATATATATTTTTTTTAAAAAATGATATTTATTACTTTTCCAACATTTTCAACACAACACTACAAACAAAAAAAAGAAAAGAAAAAGAACAATACAAATACAATACAAAAACACTACATAACACCAACACATTAAACTAACAAAACAAAGCAAAAACAAACAAAAACAGTTTAAAAACACCTCAAACATTTTCAATATCTTATCTTTCATTCACTTATTTCCAATGACCTCCTCACACCTCCCTTTTTGTATTCCACTTCTATTAATTGTTTCAGCAATTCCTTTCCATCTTCCTCTGTTTTCTATCCTATAATTATCTTAACACATTTTAACCTTATTTTCCCTTTAATACTCTATTAATCTATTTATACTTAATTCCTTATAACATTTCTACTAAAGCCATATAACTTCATTCCAACATTCTTCTAACATTCCTTAATTTTACGATATTTCTATAAATAGTCTTTAAACCTTTTCCAGTCTTCTTCCACCGACTCTTCTCCCTCGTCTCGGATCTTGCCAGTCATTTCCGCCAATTCCATATAGTCCATCAACTTCGTCTGCCATTATCCAACACTTCAGTGCTTTCAAGAAGCAGCCATTCTCTCAGCCAGCAAAAAGCAGATGGTTCACAACAAAGTTTAGGGGTCTGGCAGGGCAAGTCCACCTCCTTCGAAACCTGTCAAAATAAATGGTGCACAATCAGTGCTAGCTAGTACTTGAGCTGTAGAAACAGCATCAAACTAAGGTCACCTGCAGCTTCATGTTCTTGGTGTTTTAAATGCACCTGTATCTATTTACAAAATCCACTGAGGACCATTAAAGAAGGTGGCTGCACAATGAAAGAAGGTGGATATACCTTCCCACATAGTATGTGTTTCACCAGTGATTTGAACTGAAGGCTTTGATTAGTATTTCATTGCCAGTCTTCTATCCATTATCCTTTCTTCACCTAAAGTTGTATACAGCTGTGAACAACTTTTTAACATTTTCAGCACCTCCTTCCTGTAGGTGATGAAATCTGTTCATTTAGAAACACACACCCTGCCACTACCTGTATAGTCAATTCTCTGCTTGTGGTGAAACAGTAAAGTAAAGGACCCCTGGACGTTAAGTCCAGTCAAAGGCAACTATGGGGTTGTGGTGCTCATCTTCATCTTCAGGCCAAGGGAGCCAGCATCTGTCCACAGACAGCTTTCCAGGTCATGTGGCCAGCATGACTAAACCAATTCTGTTGCAACAGGACACTGTGACGGATGCCAGAGCGCACAGAAACGCTGTTTACTTCCCACCGCAGCGATACCTATTTACTCACACTGGCATGTTTTCAAATTGCTAGGTTGGCAGAAGCTGGGACAGAGCAACAGGAGCTCACCCCATCGCATGGATTTGAACAGCCAACCTTCCAATCGGCAAGCCCAAGAGGCTCAGTAGTATAGACCACAGTGCCACCCATGTCCCAGTGAAACAGATAAGATTAGTGGGAAACCGCTTCATTTTCATCCTTTTCCTTCACTACAGCTGCCCTTAAACATTCTTTGCTGGAAACTTCTATCAGATTCATTCAAGCCAATACTGCATTCTTATTCTCTCCCTCACACACACACCCCTTGAACTAACAAACAATCTTGTTGGTTTCACTGGACAGCTGGTGAAGGTTGGTAGGGCAGGGTAGAAGCAGGACTGTGCACAGGCTCAGCCCGAATCCTGGACTGAATATGGCCAATAGGGGTCAACCTGAGATTCAGCCAGAGTGGGTTGAGGGAACCCAAGATCTTGCAAGGTCAGATCAGGTCCACCTGGAACCATAGGAGCCAACACTTAGGGGCTGAGGTCCCTTTGTCCCTCCCCAAAAGGTGATGGGCATTCCCATTCAAATGGTGTGTGTATGCTGCGTTTTGTGATCAATTATGTGGGGTGGGGCTTACCTGCCTCCCAATATTTTATTCAAGTTGGCATCCCTGCCTGGAACAATCCTGGAACCAAGAGATGTGGGGCAACCCAGTAGCAAGGAGAGGGTGTGGTGGAAGGAGGCACACACAGGCAGCCTGCAGGTGCCTCGTTCTTCCTCCTCCCAACTACATGATTAGTTTTAGGCATTAAAATGGAGAGTCTTCAAACTGGTTTGGGGCCAGATGTGGATTTGCAGAACCCTAGATAGAAAGATACTTTGTGGGATTACATCTGTGTCAAATGTGGGGCAATCTGGACAGAAATATCGGGAAAGGCCTTCTGTAGCTGAAGAAGGGCATATACCGTGGGAACAGGATAACTAGTAAATTGTGTTGATGCTCATTGACTGAAATGAGGGGATGATTACTGAGTAATGCTTTAAATGTGCATTTGATGTTTGTTCAGGATTTCATCAGGAAGCATTGCTTAACCATCTCCCTAGAGACTGTGTTGCAAGAGCTCACAGAGCAATTTCTTAACAGCTTCTTTATTTTTACATGCCTGCTGCTTGCTTAGACTTGTTACTCACAGCAGTTTTTGTTCAGTTGTTCTCATTTGTCAAAATTGAGTGCTACAGAGATCATCACATGCCAGTTCTCCAGAATTCCATGTGCTCTCCGGGAAAGTCCTGTCAGAATCTTCATTCTCCATCCACTAAAAACAAAGCAACACTTGATTATAGCAGGCTGCACCACATTGCAGATATTAATATTGTGCAGTTTGAAGCGACGGGCAAAATGACATCATGCACATGCGCAGAAGTGGCAAATTGCAACCCGCGCATGTGCAGATGCTCTGCTGCAGGTTGCACTCTTTTCATGTTGTGAACAGGCCTCCGGAACCGATCCCGGTCGCAACCAGAGGTACCACTGTATTCCAGTGGAATCGCCCCACATTAAACTTCTTCAGTAATTCACATTTAGACATTCCACATTCCAGTGTCAATTAAATGATTATACATAACACACCACACTTGCACACAGGGGCTGCTTGTGTGAGGTCTGTGTAAGAGAGGGCTGATTGGGACACAAGAAAAGTTCTCAGTGGTATCTCGTATCCTTTGGCACCGGGGTGGGGGCGGGGGGAGGAAGGGAGGCCAATAGTAGGTGGAGTCACAGCCAATGGCTGGCAAAGGAACCATGACTGGTTGCAAGTAAGAAGCTGCGGAAGGTAGGCTGGGGTTGGTGGGGCAGTGCCCTTATGAACTCGCCTCCGCGGAGAATGCTGCTGAATCAGACCAAAGGCCTACTTGGGTTGTGTTGCTATTTAACTACCGTATTTTTCACTCCATAAGACACACTTTTTTCCTCTTAAAATCTAAGGGGAAATGTCTGTGCGTCTTATGTGTGGTCCCTGGGAAGGCTTTCTGGGAAATGATCTATAATGAACTGAAAAAGGTATTTAAATATACCTTCCTGAAGAAACCAGAGGCCTTTCTCTTGGGCATGGTGGGCCAATTGGTGTCAAAGAAGGATAGAACTTTCTTTATGTATGCTACAACAGCTGCAAGAATACTTATCGCAAAGTACTGGAAGGTGCAAGATTTACCCACTCTGGAAGAATGGCAGATGAAGATGATCAGCTGTATGGGATTGGCAGAAATGACTGGCAGGATCCGAGACCAGGGAGAAGAGTCGGCGGAAGAAGATTGGAAGAAATTCAAGGACTATTTACGGAAATATTGCAAAATTAATGAGTGTTGAATGATGTTGGATAGAAATTAAGGGGTTCATAGCTGTAATGTGATATGGGGGAGAGAAAAAATAGGGTATAGAAACAGGTTAAATTTATGGATAAGGATTTGCTGAACTAACAATTTGAATTGGAATACAAGAAGGGGAGGTATGAGGAAGTCAGTGAAATATGTTATTGAAAAATAGGTATTGTGAACCTTATGTGTTTTTAAACTTTTTTGCTTTTTTCTTTTTGATTCTTTTTGATTGTATTAAATTTGAAAACTTTAATAAATATCTTTTTTTAAAAAAAGTGTGGTCCCTGGGGCTGGGGGGGGGACCTGGGCTTCCCCCGCCAGCCCCGCCAAGCTCTTTGGGGCTGGCGATGGCTTTCCCCAAAGAGCAGGTTGAAAGGAACCCGAAGCCTCCGGACTGCAGCCGGAACTCCCCGACTGAACGCACCTTGAATGCACTGAATGCACCTTGTTTTAGAGGGGGAGAACAAGAAAAAAAATATCTCCCCCTCTCTGTGCAGCGCCCCTTCAGCGAAGCGGCAGGAGAAATGGAAGGGGCATTTTGAACATTTCAGGTTCAAAATGCAGCGTCTCCCGGCCCGCACAGATTGACCTAACCTCAGTAAAGTGCCCTGCCTTACCGATTTTCGTTTCCACTGTACCATCTTAGTGGAGCAGTTCAGTTGTTCCAAACACATTTTCTCCATGACGCTCATTGCATCAGGGTTGTCAAGAGGCCTTGAAGTGAGTATGTGAGAAAGTGCAGAGGATTAGACAGGAAGGTGACAAGTGTCCTGACTTATGAAAGTGATGAATTATTCATAATCGCTCTTACAATTAATTCAGGAACTTCAAAGAAGGATTGTTGGTGATGCTGAAACAGCAAACACTTATTTTCTTTTCTGCTAAAAGTCATGACGAGGTATTATGACATGGCTTTCATTATTATTTTTTAATCACATGTCTGGGGAATTTCCTAGAATATCCTGTTGTACTACTGAATTTGAATGTCCTGCTCCTGTTTCCAGAAGGGTAGCCACGTATAGCAAATGGCCTCGCAGCACCTTAAAGTAAAATAAGAACAGACTTGGGACTGCTGGATTTGGCATCATCTGAAGCAGGACAGTAACTGACTTTTGCATGACGTTTCCTGAGATCAAAGATAAATATTTTGTCTATATTTGGATACATTTAGGTTCCACTTTGAATCAAGACAGTAGATGGACCCTTTGCAATGAATTTAACCAAATTTTGCAAGACTGTATATTATAGGTTACCCAACAGCATGGGAATGAAAATGTATTTTTTCCATAAAGAAACTAAGAAAAGAAGAAATCCATTTTAAAGTTGCAGCATTGTTTGGTTTCTTATAATTCCTGAACAATGATACATCTTTAAACAAATACTTTCCCTGAAAATAGCACAGGGTTCTTACTTAACTCCATTATCTGTTTCATTTATACATCAAGGTGCCTCTCGCCTATGTTGAAAGGGGTGCCAGGACATTGGGACCTACTGACATATGGATGGGACTACACCAAGGTTAACAGGTTTTGGACAAGGAGGTTCTCAGGAAAATTGGGCAAGAGGTTCATCCCTTCCCTTATTTGGCACTCTTGAATTTATTTGTGGATCCAGATCCAGACTTGAAGAACAATGATATAGTTTTGTATCCCTTGATAGCTGCCTAGGCCACAGTGGCCAAATTCTGGAACACTTTTGATCTTGCTCATTTGAAGTACTGGTATTCCAAGACTTGGAAAATCGCCCTCCTTGAAATAAAAGGTTTGCATAAATTAAAAGTCCTTCAAAGTGCTCAAGACCATTTATTTGCCGCTTGGTTTAG